TCATTATTATTATTATTATTATTATTATTAAAGTGTCCAAAAACACTCAAGTATGATTGTATTGTACACCTACAGCCATAACAAAAATGGTATGTTCAGCTGAACTAAGTCACTAACCTCTAGTTTTCCAAGCTGTACTAAGATTCTCCCAAGGTTGTACTTAATTGATGTAACTAAAACACATCAAAAGTGTACAAGTAAGGATATGTACATGTAACTACAAAATATTCTCATCCCAGAATAAAGAAAGAGAGGAGAGGCAATAACATACTGAATTAGGTAATTTTCAAACTAGTATCATGGAACTGAATTTCTTGGAAAAATTTTTGGGCACCATGTAGACCACTTATCTGCAGCTTAAAACACACCCTGTTAAGATGCCAAATAGTGAAACTGGCTGTTGACCCTGTTTAAGACTCACCACCCTGAAAACCATTCCCTTTGTTTAGCAGTATACATACAGCTGTATCTGTTTAGGTGAAATGATGGAGTATTCCCCCCTCCCTAAATTTTATTACATGTAAAATTCCTGATCTCTCTTTATTAGTTTTTAACACATTGCTAAACAAGATAACTTAACTTATACAAACCATGCAGTCACTTACTTGAATGTGAATGATGTTTAGGGTCCTTCAGTCCATGTCCACTTATAGTTGATGCATTCCTAAAAATCTTAAAAGCGGCAGTAACATAATTTTTTTCCCCGATTACTGCATGAAATTAACCTGGGATAAGGCTAGAGCTATCTTTGTTCCATTATTTTTGTGTATGAAATTCTAGTTCAACCACGTAGGAGGGAATGTATGGAAGCTGCTAAATTTTGGCCCGATCTCAGCTGGTTAGCATGAAAGTGACTGATTCAGACTGAGATTTATACGGACAGAGTTGAACAATGCCAAAAATATTAATAAAAACAAACAAAGAGGAACAAATCTCATTAGCAATCATTTTAACCAATAAGTTCATTATCATTCTTGTAAACAGCTGTCAAGATCGAAAGCAAGAGAAAAGGTGAATCTACATGTCCTGTAAAAATCAGTCGGAGAAAAAAAAAATTAAAAACATAACAACAGGACCTCTAAGAAAGTCATTTGGTAGGGGGTCTTAGGGGTCTTTGTTTTCAAGCAACCCTACAAACAACAAAACATATCATACATATCTACCTGGACAGCTTGCTCTTTAAGGCCCATGTCTGACAGCACAATCCCCAAATTAAGATGGGCAGCTATGAAATCAAAACAATAGAGAGCTGTGGAATCTTGAAATAACAAACGCCTATAATTTGATGTAATGAACAATAACTAGTTTTCAACCGAGCAATAATAAATATATAGGAAAGAACCTCAATACAATGAGATCCTGCTGTAGTAAACATGATTATTTTGCCAGTCCTATGGCCCTTTAGCACATCATGGTTCCACTGTAAAAAAAACATGCCATAAACAACCTAAACTCAAACGTCCTAAAAACCATATCATTTCTATTTTTAGGGAAATGATCACAACATTTGAATAAACACTATAGCAAATTTCTCACCAGCTAATCTAGGTCTGAAATGGATGGCATTTTCATAACTACGAACTGCTTCACTATATCGCTGCTCTTCTGCTAAAAGAATTCCCCTGAAACAAACATTGGATTGGTTAACTATACATAAACTGACTTGTATTAAGACAGGATATTTTTTCAAAAGTCCAAATCTCACTTTTTTTTCTCCAAGATTTATTCCATGGGTATTCCCTCAAAGGAATTTTGGGTAGAGGTGTTTATTTAAGACAAAAACTGCTCATTTTGCTACCTTGTAAGAGACCTTATTTGGTGAGCATGACTCATTTCATTTCACATACAGAATTGGGTCAAGAAATACGATTTTTTAAGGGAAAAATGGTGGTACTGCTCATTGCTAACCTTTACACTCTTTCCAATTTTGCTCCCCATCTAAAAAGACACCCTGTTCATAGTCAAATTGTATGCCCAGTTAAGACTTGAGACCCTGAAAGCCATACCCTGTTCAGTGGCACATACATGTACCCCTTTTAGGCCAAATAAAGAAGTACCCCCCACCCCCCAACAAACCTGGAAAGTAACCCCATCATTTTTATAGGAGAGTGCAAATCTAGGAGAATTACTAATAATTGATTATATCTGAAGCTAAGACGTTACGATTCATAAATTTCAAGCTAATTTTGAACCTAAGATTCTCTTTAATTTGCAACAGGGTTATAATTCAGCCGGTGTAATTGTGTGGACATTTGACATTTGGTGAATAAACTACCGCAAGTTTTTCTGGTGTTTGTGGATCTAGGTGGTCTGTAGGTAAGATGTCATTTTTTCTTTACAGAACAGTGAATAGTAGGTAATCAGAATATACCTGGTTCATTCATTCATTTTTGCATCATACAATCGCATGACATAGCCAGGATGACATGAGACACAATTGAAAAAAGAGGCAAATTGGTGGCCTGAAATTCTACTCAGTTAGCCACACACTGATGCAGCCATGCATTTGCCTAAAAGAGTATGAATATATATTTTAATGTGAAGATCCCATATGCTATGATTTTCAATATTTTCTACTTATTTACAGGTTTTCTGGAACTGTTTTCACAGCTTGCCAGGATCTCAATAATGCACTGGACCCTGATAGGAAACTTGAAACAAGAACTTTATGCAAATGGTGAGCACTTTATATGCAAGTGTGTACAGTACACTTACAAGTTATAGTGGGTGTCAGCCATATTGGACCGGTAAGAGAGTGCTTTCTTGTAAGCATCTTCTGCCTCTGGTTTTCTGTTTTGAGAACTCAGTACATTTCCTAGGTTTGACCATGCTGAGAAACACAAAAGAAAATAGTTTCACCTTCCCGAAAGTAGAAGGTGGAAAGTGAAGTTCTTTTGACAGCCCTAAGCCCTTACAAAATAGATAACAGCTCTCTAGTTGAGGTACCTGTCTTTGAATTGTAGTGTGGTAAATACCTGTTTGCCAACGGCTTATCCAATGGCAAAATATTCTTGTCTAATGAACCACAAATTAGCCATTTGATGTGATTATACTCTCACCTTTTGTAAACTCTTAAACGTAAATTAATTTTTGAGATCAATAAATTAGGCTTCAGGAATTAACTTCCACAATAACTTGTCTTTTACTCATTTCAAGTGAAATCATAAATATTCCTTTTGAAGCCTCATATATTGTCCTCAAATTAAAGGCAAATTAGAAACACTTAAAAAATCACTAGCTTTTTCATCAGAACTAATATTGATCAGCTGTGTGACTCTTCATAAAAACAATAATTTACTCCTGTTAAAGGAGCTGTTAAACTTTCAATAAAAGAGGTAATAAATCAACAGAATGGAAAACGAGATATTACCTTTAGGAGGATTTACAGAGATGCCAGATCTGTTAAAGTCGGGTAAGAAACAAAACAAAAATTAATAACACAACTGTTAGTACAGCAACAACTTATAACGGACCTAACATAACCTAACCTAACCTTTTCCCTGCATTTCTAAAAAAAATTGTTGCCTATAAAACTAAGGGCTGTCAGGTGTAAAGATCATGAAAGATGAAATGAATTTTAAGGGATAACATTAAAGAGGACAAGAATAGCCAGGTGCTGACACTTACAGATGTGAAGCTAAGTTCGCAAAATTACCACTAACAATATAATAGGAGAAAAAAGTTATCTGGGATACTGACACATTGTTACTGTATTCATATCCCAATCTGCCTCAATAACCTCAAAAGCAACCCCTTACATCTGTAATACAGTATATCTACTGGTACATTACTTTAATTCCACTTGTAGCTATACACATACATTAACCGATGTACATGATAAATGCATACTCATCCTTAATAAGCAGAAGAGGTTAATCCCATCATCAAAGGTTTTAATACCTGTACAAAACTTCTTCATTTTGCCAGTCCATGTTCCTTTGAACAGCTTTTGCAGAGAGTAGCACCAACATGCCCATTAAGAAGCCAATAAAGAACTTTCGCTGCTTTACATTACACACCTTACAGATTATATCAGCTCCAACTGCTATTAACAAACAATACCCAACACTTGGAATGTACAGAATTCTCTCTGCTACTACAAACCCCACATAGAAAAATAGGTTACTGGCTGGCAAGAAAGGAAGTGTTAATATTGCAAGAGACAAAAGCACTGTTTGGAGCAAACAATTTGTACTGCCAACATTGAATGTTCTCACTGGTAAATTATTGTTAAGATGAATACAATGACCGTAACTCAGTGAGACTGTTTCAGTATCTGTGGCTTCATTTACATGCTTCTTTCCATTCCTAAGCATTTGGTCTTTTCTATGACCTGTATAAAATTTTTCTTTGGACACATATTTTTTGTTGTCAATGTTCCTTTCCACACTTGTTTCACAGCAATGAATACATTTGATGAGAGAATAAAATCCCAGAAATGCAAAAAATCCATAAAACAGCACAATTACCAAACAGCGTGGATCTAAAAAGGATTCCAAAAGGGGTATTGCATCCATTGACCAATCAAAACTCAGTACTCTGGGAGAAAGGAGCAGCCAAAAATTAAATGCTGGTAAAAATAAGAAAGTTAAAAATCTTGTCAGGCTGCTTTCACAGTTGGCAGCAGGATTATCGGATGGAGAAAACTCTGGAGCTTGCTTCCCCATGATTGACAGTCGCATAGATAAAAGTCCGACTCCAGTAATAAATACTGACAAAAGACGCAAAGCACAACCACTCTGAAGAGCCTGCAATTAGGACAAAATAGAACTATTGTAGCTATAACTTCGTTGAGCAAATTATGTACCATAATTATTATTGACTTTACTTAGGGAATTATAGAAGAAACTTGTGCAGTTTACATGTATATGTGTACTGTTGTAATTTTATGTAATCAACAGAATACAAAAAGCTTAATTCAAATGAAACTTTTATGCCAATTTCTCAGGTCAGCAAAAAGAGATCTGATATGCAGTTCAAACTGAGGTATCTCTAAGATTTGAAATTTAGAACACCAAAATCAGCCTATAAACTTGCTGATGTTGTTATGTTGAATTTAGGGACAAGTATTGTCATTATATTCACAGTGTAATATTTGGATTCAAGTTTTACATGCTGTGTATACATTGTTTCAATTATACTGTCTTAAAAACCCATACAGTGTAAGTTTGCTATTTGTCAAGAAACAGTATAATTTTTCAATTATTTATAAGATTTCTGATTAATTACATGATTGGACACTATTTGATATCAATAATAAAACCAACATACAGCTGTAATAACTGTGCAAAATTCCACAAAAATACTGCAAAATATCAGAAGCCAGCTTCTTATGTAACACAGTGCAGAGCTAAAAAGGCCTTTAAACGCCAGTTTAGCAAATTGTGAAAGTGATACTTGCCTGATACAACAACTCAGAAAGATTCTGTTTTTTCTTCTTGTTACTGATGAGGAGCAGGATCTCATACACAGCACATACTCCTAAAACTGTGATTCCTTGCTCTTTGCTCAGCATGCTTGCAACAGAGAACACTAAACTACACAGCAACCAATACCATCTTATGTTACTCCAGCCAAAAGGAGAAATTTGCATAGAAGTTTTTTGAGATCTGATATAAGCCAATAAAGATGCAATAAAAAACAAACAAGCTCCAATGTCTGCTCTTCCAACAATTCCAGTCACAGCTTCTACAAAGCAACATTAAAAAATAATGTTATGGTCTTACATATTTAAGTGTTACAAGACAAAAAAACAACCATAACACTTATTAATTTAAAGCCTATTCAGTTACACTAATAAAGAATTTAATAATTATTTCTCAGTTTTGCTAATAATATACTAATTATTTCTTGATTGATGGTCCAAAGAGTCTCTTATCCAAATAAAGTCTATGAATTTATCTATTTAAAGACAAGCTAACAAAAAATAATTATTACGCCCTCAAGGGGCTTAGTTTTGGTCTTACATAAGGAGAGGGTACCCCCACCACAGCTACTACAATAAAAATTTGTTTTTCCCAAAATTATTGCCAATTATGAGGCAAATCATTTTCTCAATCAATCAATCAATCAATGCGTGTTGTTACTACCAGCTACACCATATATTTTACACATACAGTTGCAATTTGTCTATTTAGGGTTTAACAAGGTTATGCAAATAATAAGCAATAAAGGAGCAGCATAACTAAAAAAAATAAATTATAATAATATGATTTATTAATAGTAAAACTATCTGCCCAGTACATTCGTAACATAAAATAATTATGGTTATTTATTCAAAAAAAGGCATGTAGTGAGTATATCATATCAGCTGGAGTCAGCATATCAATCGTACCTGTATGAATAGGGTGAACAGCAAACAGGAGTCCTGCCACAAGACTTGGAAAATGGGCATGGACTAAAGTGTATGATAATGTTACAACAAGCCAGCATACAGTAGTGTGCAGTAATACATTCACAAGATGATAACCAAATGGATTTAATCCCCCAACATAGTAGTTTATTCTAAATGATGTCACACACAGCGGTCTGTAAGACTTATGACTGCCACTGTGAGTCAGTGGTGTTCCCCAAAAGTCATTGAATAGAACACTGCTCCATGGGGTTGATGGTAAAAGATCGGAATTCTTAACAATGGCTCGGCTGAGAAATAAGAAAAAGTTAAAACATTAGCGTTTATTACTATGGAAAATTAAATCAACACTGACATTTAAGGACAAGGAATAATATGAAAATAATAATGACCTCCAGTTTTGAACTTAGTGCAATCATGGAAAAAAGTTCCAATTATATCTCACCAAACTGGGTTCTCAATAGATCAGTCAATCAAATCTTTATTTTAACATGATAAAAATTCATCAGGTCAGCACAATATAAAATACAACCATATAATAATTTCTAATAACAATCAATCAATACATATCTATAAAAACAAGTCTCAGTAAAAATACTAACACTATTCCTTATAATAATATTTAAACTAAACTATAACGTTGGATTACACTATCCACTGGATAAAAATGAGACCAGTGAATAACGCAGTTGGTTTCCCTGGTACTATATCCACTGGATAGTGATTTATCCGGTGGACAGTGCTATCCAACGTTTGAACAACTGGGGCCAGATTTTATGATCACACTCTCCACATGTAGTTATTGCACATGTCAGAAATGTAAGTAATGGGCCTAACCCTCTGAGGAAACTTTTTGGAGGGGGAAGGTGGGGCACACTCAAAATGGCTACTCATTGTGCGCACACCTGCAGAAAAAGTAGCCAAATAATACAGTAGAGAGCACTTAGGTGGAGAATACAATTGAGACTACATTTGACACACATTTTGGGAATATCCCAGTTTGAGGTGCCAATCTTGCTGGGTTTTTCTTCAAATTCTCCAAGTTTCCTTGCATGGTTCGGCAGGTCTAGAGAAGCGCTGCATTTAATTGCATTATCATTTTTACAATTGAAGTCAGAACGCAATGGACATCAAGTTTGGTTTGTAAAAGTCTTGGCCGTAATTTTAAGATTTGTTGTTGTTGTTGTTGTTGTTGTTGAGTCGTTTTTGTAAAAGCGTCTTGGAGTACGCCATAAATTTAACGATTAAATGACTGAATCGTACAAAACAGCTTTCAACTCACTACACTAGCACAGAAAATTTCCAGTAGCTCGGAAACAAAAAGATTAATAAATAACGCGTGAAGCGCTTTCCCACTGTGACAATCGATTCCTCTGCCAAATACATGACAAGATTCGCAAACGCCTCACGCCATTTAATAACAAGAACATTCCAAACACTGCTACATTTCTGACAAAATTAGCTTTGTGATCCTTTCAAGGGTAGCTACAGCGTAAGCGTAACTTATTTAAAAAAGGGCTTATAACCAGCATTAGATCACCTTTGTACATCAGGTTTACCGTGGCCGATTAACTCAAAACAATCTTTCTTTTGCACAGGTGGCCTAACCTACACAACTCTGACGGTTCTGTATGTTATCCAAAAACTAACTCCTCGAAATTCTGCTTGTGCGACACATATAATAACTTTATCGCTGATCGCATTCGTTCTAAATTAATCAACTCAACTACAAACCTTCGTGATGTGTACATAAACCGAGATTATTTTATGTTTTATTTCCCTTGGCGCTTACCTGTATTTGATCCTTAGGTTGCCCACAATATTTCAATAAACAATCCTGTGCTGCGTACTAGCAAAGCGCTGTAGCGCACGGATCGCGTCGCACGAAATAATTTTCTTACAAAAAGTTGAAGAGATTAAAGAATCTCGGGGAAAAAACCCCAAAGAACTGAAAGGCTCATTTTCTAAAAGGCACCAAGTTTGTTGTCGATGTCGCTTCTTAGCGTTAATCCTCGATAAAAAAAACCTGTAAGGTCTGTAAGAACTGTGAAACCTCAACACCAACACTACCCTCCTACTAACACGAAAATCCTACCTATCATCGTACACAAAGTCCGCGGACAGCGAGTTTAAATAGCACAGAAGTCCTGCTACTGAAGAAACTGCCACTGTATGCCACAATTTCCATTTATCACTCTGCATGACCGTAGTTAATGGTAGTTATAATATAACTAGTTTTCACACCTCAGTTTTTCAACACTTCCAACCGCCATTGTTGTGATTTGCGGTTATCGCGGCTGTGCAACCAGGCCAAAGCTGTCGCGCGTGTGGATTTAAAAGAGGGAAAGGGAAACCGAAAGGAACAGAACTGTCTCCCCTTTTCCCTTCTCTCTTCTCCTACCCCCGCTCCCCACTCCTCCAGAGAAGCATGCTAACATTGTCAAGCTAATATAAAGGGATAGATACTAAAGTTTTTGGTCTCAGTTAACGTGTTCAAGACGGAGAGCCGTTAGGGATCGTCCCGGGGGGATCGTAAGGGTCTTTTTAACCCCAACCCTCACCCTAAGCAGGAGCCCATCAAATTTGATGGGCTCCTGCCCTAAGACAGCATTCTTTAAAAAAAAAATAGACCCCTATCCCGGTTCCCCGGCCCCATACCGACCCCGCGTTTTACTGACACCCCTTCCAAGCAGCACAAGTGAAAACCTGACAGAAAAGGCGAATGACCTTTCAAAGATTCTGTTTAATATTCAGTACACCTTGCAGAGTCGCAAACTAAAAGCATAAGGATAATGTGGCAAATTCCATTGTCTTTTTTCAGGAGCAATACTTAAACAAGAGGTAATTTTAGTCAAAGACTATGATAAATACTTGTGTGCAGAACATCACAATACTTAAGTAGAGGACCAGCAGTAAGAAACAAAAGGAAAAACGGTTACCGGAAAAACGACCCAAGAGAAAAAAATACTACGAAAAAAGGCAAGCAAACAAACGAAAAGACATGGCTTTAAAAGTTTGGTTCCATTCACTGATCGCACGCTTCAGCCAGGAATCAAAAGCGTTTCTGGGCCCTTTCTCATCAGTAGAATTATTTTGGAGACCAGACCGGCAAGTCATAAACACTTGTTCTCATCTAACTACTCATGAGTCATGATGAATTTCACCGATTTTGTATCTCCACTTAGTGTTTTCTATGTAAAGACCGCGAAACAAAGATTGCCACGAAATTTATGTAACTTAAGTTGTGAATAACTGTAACATTTAGAAATGAGGGAGTGGTAAAAACCTTTTATTCTATAAAACCTGCATGATACGACATCTAAGGCTGGGTTACCAGCCGCTATTCAGGAAATGTGCCCGTGCCGGACCCGAGAGCTTGGCCGACATCGAGCCTTACGGCGTCTTTACCCAAGCGTTTTTCCTTTCATATCAACCTGGCGATCCTTACGAGGTTTAAATAACAAAATTGAACTGAGCCCTAAATTTCTTTTGAGATTATCTCAACTAGTTTTGTTGCCACTGAGTTGTAGTTGCAAAACATTTTCAACTTACTGAGAAATCTTAATTTTAAACCTGATACAATTGATGTGCTCATGTAACAGCCCTCTTTAACAGACCTGGCGACCCTGGTTGTTCATCGAGAACTCGGCAAAAAGTCTACCAGGTCAGACAGAAATCCACCAGGTCGATTCTATTTTTCACCAGGCAGACCATTAACCGCCTATAAAATAAAATGTAGCCAAATACTTGGATACGTAATGGAACACTGTTCACCACTATGAGACCTATGCATGCATGTCACCAAACATACAAATTTTGTAAACAGGCAATTTGCAGAATAGCCTGCGTAGCAGGCGCTTGGAAGTATTTAGGCGAAAAAAAGAGCGGTTGCGCGAGAGGGAAACACGCTCCCTCGCGCGCCCCTTTCTATCTTTCTTGGGTTGGATTGGGCGCGATTGATTTTTGGTTCGGTTTCGTTCGATTAGCTACGCTGGGATTCACACTCCAGGAGAACTTCATTATTTATAAATAATGGATTGTAGTTGTCTGACTGATTTATAAATAAAGAAAGTTGTTTAATGGATATTTATATGTATGTATATGTGGTGCGCGTGTATAATTACACGAAAACGAAGGGCCTCGATTAGGGGAAAATTATATCATTGCTAAGGGTAACCTTGCTAAGACAGCCAAAACGTGATCAACTTGGTGGGTCACTTCAGTCATCGTCGAAAATACTCAACTCCGCCTGATCATCTTGAGACTCATTTGCATGCAATGAAAGTCGTCACGATTCTTATCCCCAGTTTCCATGCACGGTCTCCGCTAGCAACGCCTGGGACTATGACCATCATTTGGTAAGGACACACGCCAAAAAAAAAAAGAAAAGAAACGGTTACATTTTCAGAGTCTCTCAGCTAAAGTAGGTTCGACTGACTACTAACTTTATTTGATCATTCACATTCACTATAAACATGAGGAACAAAACAAATGAATTTTACACATAATTTGGTGGACTGAACAGACTGAGAAAGAAGGCATCGGCAGGCTTCTTGCTCGCTTTTGTACCAGCATCTCGTCTCATCTCTCATCTTTTTCTAACAACAATATATTTATCTTAAAGAAATATAGCCTGCATTGCAAGCATTTTCTTCGGGTGCGCGAATGCTTTTGCTCGCGAAACTCTCAAAGAGACAGGGGCACCCAACGAGAGTATAGTTAAAAACCACTTACACATAGCATTGTTGAACGTATTTTAGTATTTAACGGTAGATGTAGGCTTATTTTTATCCCCTAAAAATTGTTCATTTGTTCGGATTTCCTAGCTGAAGGTCTAGTGATCCGAAAATTATAGGGATCAAAACTACCTTTTCGAAAATTTCAGCCAGAAAAAAGGCTTCCGAAAAAAACTCGGTGACCTTTTTACGCTAAAAATCCGTTAAAAATGGGCAATTATACAATGTTTGGGAGGTTCGAAAATCCTAGGAGAGGCATGCAGGCAAGAAATTTAACAAAAATTGTTCCGAAATTCTAGATCTCAAATCGTCTTCCGAACAGATATTTTCCAAAAATTGTCGTTGGGTGCCCCTGAGGAGAGGAGGAAAAGGGGCGACCCAAGGCGGCCGTAAGGGTTGCTATTTCTACTCTCCCCAATCTTCCTCTGTCATAAAATCAAAGATGGCGGCTACAACAATACTCACAATACGAACATAAACAAGCTTTCGCCCGCCCAAAATACGCCTGCACTGCAGGCTAAAAGAAATAGCATCATTACACTTTCCAAATTTTTAGATCACTGCACTCATGCAGCACAATGTACGTCTATTATAGGCGTCTAGTCTAATTAATCTGACGCCAGTTATTGGACAATGCGACTCAATGTTTTCTACTGCTAAGTATTGAACACCCGACGATAATTCAAAGGCTTTCCTGGTGTCAATCAGATAACCAACGATGTACATTTCTGAGGAAAGATCTATTGAGAGAGGAGAGTGTATAATTTAAATAAACCATACAATGTCAACCCACCCAGTACTGTAGCTAAATACACTTGAACGAAAGGACTTGTAATAACTGTGCGAAGAGAGAAACCTGACGAACGATTTTGTCGTCCGGATCGCTCGCTCGCTGCCGACAAAGCATTCGTCGTCACCGTCAGCTTTTCCAATACGGCAATTTGTTGTTCGCTGACTTCCTCTTCGATCAAGTCGAAGTATATAAAAACAAATTGTTTGCAGTATTCGAGGCAGTCACTTTGGAGCAGAAGGTAGTTTTTGTCGGCGATTATAGCCATGAGTACTTTGAGCGCTCGTAAAGAGAGAGTCAGGGTGCCAACATAAAGGCAAACATCGAACTGTGGTTCTTTTCCGCTAAGATGGATTTCATCAGCTTGTACATAGTAATGGTTATCTAGTTGTAATACTACATGAAAACGACGGATAACGGAGGTGGATTTCAAGCACTGGCCAACGTTGTAAGGAGTTAAATACTCTTGTGCTACAACATCGAGATTTTTCAAGTCTTTTTCTTCCACAGCCCAGATCGCCGCGTGTACATCATGTACAATGAGAAAGAAGACCCAGCTAGGCCAGGATTGTTCGTCGTAGTTGATTGAAGGATGGTCGAGTAATCCGTCGTATTTCTTGTTCATTATATCCCAAACAATGGCCATCGTTTCTTGGTCAAAACCTGACTTGATTGTTTGGTCTTCGTTAAGGCCAAGTTTTTCTTCCAGTCGTCGCTTTCGCAAGCTTTGTTGAGCCATGATCCCAACTGAGTTTGAAAACTACTTGCTCCCACAACAAACAACAGACGAAACCGGAAGTACGAGAAGGAACACAGGTCGCCCAAGCTCACTATGAGAACCCTGACATTATCCTATTTAGCTTATTAATTATTCATATTGCAATAATTATGAGACGTTGTATGTGAATTATCATATTTCCCTGTAACTGAGCGACATGTGCATTGCATTTTTCCTTTTCTTGTGTTTATTTGTGTGCTGACCGCGTTTCAGGCCTCCTAAGATGCCAAGAGCCCATGAAGCAACAGTACCCCACGAAGCTAATTAATTATACATACAGCAAGAAAATAATAAGACGTTGTATGAGAAATATTCTTTGCTCACTAAATTAGAAAAATGTGCGTTGAATGTCGCTTTGAAGCTTACCTTTAACGTTTTCATGTTTTTTCTTCTAGTCTATTCTGACTGCGTTTCAGACCTCCTATCTAGGAGTACCAAGCTTTTTGAGAATAACCCACGTTTCAGCATAAAACAACCCAATCAGGCCATTTAATGTAAATTTAGGTGAAAAAAATGGCAAAAGGCGATTTTTAGGGTTTTTGATTAACGCCTTGTTCTGAGCGATAGTTTTCAACCTGACGACTGTCATCTGGAAATACTAGTATAAATGAAAGCTTAAATGGAAAAAAATTAATACAAAAAATGACTTCTTAAAAGTTGCTCAAAAGTTGCACCAAAATCAATCAAAAGTTGCTTTTTGTGACGAAAATTGCTCAAAACTTGCAGAATTTGCTCGAAAAAACAAAACCGTTTTTGGTCTGATGCAAATTGTACAACAAAAGTAAGATCTCTGATCGTTTTTGATCTAACCAGCGTAGCTAAAAACTTTGTGCCCAATTAAAACCAAAAATGTAATGAGCCAATAAAATTTTTGAATGACCTTCTTCACCCGAGACGCTCAAGTCAATCGAGTGTGAATCTTCGTCCGCCATTTTGATTTTTCTCTAAAAACCTCTGACCCGAACCCCGCTACTTTTATTTTGCGACCATTACCTCCAGGGGGGAATTTGACTTCTTTTTTAACAGGAAATTCAAAAATTGTCTAGTTAAACATCGTCAAATATGAAAGAAAAGCCAATTTAAACACTAAAAGCTGCTCCGATATCTCAGAATTAGAAGATAATAAGATAAATTGCTCAGAATGCAAAAAGTTGCTGGAAATACGACTGAAGTTGCCGATCAACTTGTGGAAAGCCCTAAGCCAGGGAGCCTAAAATTTCACCAGGGAGGGCAGTCGGTTTCACCAAGTCAGTTAGGGGGGTCTAGAGTATGAGTGCATACTACCCAAACTAGTCTCAATGGCTTTAAAAAATAATAGCAAGTAGTTTTAACTGATGCACTATTTGTGCTTGACGTGGTATACAAAATCAGTAATTTGGTATTTTGGTTCATACTTTCAGTCTTGATATTTAGGAAATTTAATAGAATTAAGGAGGCTTTAAGGCTACATAGAGCTGATACCTGAACATTTGTTTTGAAGAAAGATGTTTCTGTTTCAGTAGAGCAGTACATATTTTGATTTTAAAGCTCCCGAAAATAGGAAACAAATATTTGTTTTGAATCGCCGTTGCCCTTTTTAAATTATTGGTTTTCGTCAGTGTTTCGACGCTTTCCCGACCTTTCCAGATGAACTACGTGTGAAGTAATGTAACAGGAAAAAGTGTCTGAAAAATCTTTTTTTTTTAAGAAGTAGTGGCATACAGGATGCGAGAAATTTGTTACGATACCAGACTCAGATAGCTAATAAAAACTAATATGCCGTAAGACAATACTCGCCAGTGATCATAATTTCCGGATTAATTTTTTTTTCCTTAGTTATAATATGAAGTCGGAGACAATGACTAAAATTTACTTAAACGACTAAATCGACTGAAATTAAATTTTTAATAATTGAAGTTTGCTATTTATTCTGATTTTTCTTGGGCTTCTCTAAAGACAGGAAATTTTTAAAATCGTCTTAATTTGGCCGGTCAAAAATTGCCGTAGTTGCTTCCGACAAGAACGTTTTTTAAAATTTCTTTATTTAATTGGCGCTAGTTACATTTAAAATCGTTCACAAAGTGTTGGACAGACTGTCGATTAGTTTCATTTTAAGTTCCGAGGGATGTTTGCCTCTTGTTTGGAGGTTGGAATTACAAGTGTGAAAAGCAGATCCGGAGCAATCAGTAAAGCCCGGTGCAAACGGACGCACCATTGTCGACCAACAACTTCTAACATTGTTGGGAGTCGTTTCGTACGTTTGCAGNGTAACAGGAAAAAGTGTCTGAAAAATCTTTTTTTTTTAAGAAGTAGTGGCATACAGGATGCGAGAAATTTGTTACGATACCAGACTCAGATAGCTAATAAAAACTAATATGCCGTAAGACAATACTCGCCAGTGATCATAATTTCCGGATTAATTTTTTTTTCCTTAGTTATAATATGAAGTCGGAGACAATGACTAAAATTTACTTAAACGACTAAATCGACTGAAATTAAATTTTTAATAATTGAAGTTTGCTATTTATTCTGATTTTTCTTAGGCTTCTCTAAAGACAGGAAATTTTTAAAATCGTCTTAATTTGGCCGGTCAAAAATTGCCGTAGTTGCTTCCGACAAGAACGTTTTCTAAAATTTCTTTATTTAATTGGCGCTAGTTACATTTAAAATCGTTCACAAAGTGTTGGACAGACTGTCGATTAGTTTCATTTTAAGTTCCGAGGGATGTTTGCCCCTTGTTTGGAGGTTGGAATTACAAGTGTGAAAAGCAGATCCGGAGCAATCAGTAAAGCCCGGTGCAAACGGACGCACCATTGTCGACCAACAACTTCTAACATTGTTGGGAGTCGTTTCGTACGTTTGCAGGTAGCTAAAAGTTTGACCAGTTTCCGAACTTTCAGCAGACGGACGCAACACGTAACATCCAACAATGTTGGGAGGCAGTGTTGGTCAACAATGTTTCATCCGTTTGCACCGGGCTTAAATCTTCGTTCTCCCACTCAAAAATCCGCAAGACTAATCTACTGAAACTTATATGTGTTCCGTCCCCTGAGACAATCTAAATAAAAGCCACACCACTGCTTTTTACGGACTTCTTTTGCAATCCTTGTATTTGTTACAAATACTTTTAAAAGGGAGCTCTTGTCTTAGGAAATGTAATGAAAATTTGAGTCGTGAACTTCAGTCAACCCCAGATAGCTAAGTGTTTTGGTGTCAGCTTTGCATTTGGGTTTGTTAAATCCGGCTTAATGTTGCATGTACATTAACTGGAAACTTAAAAATCACCAGTCATTTTGTAGAATGTAAAGTAAGAAAAATGAGTCTAAAGACCTAATTTCCTGAATCCACTGCATTTATTTGCGATAGAATGATTTTCAACTGAAGTACTCACTGTCTGAGTTTCAGTTAAAGTGTTCGGATCGAGGCAACGCACCGAAGGATTCAAGTTGACCGTCCATTTAGACATTGAAGAGTTCACCAAATATGCTGATTTCAAGTTCAAGGGGAAGTTAGGAAACGAGTTAAGGTAGAGAAAGCAATGTATGTAAACTTGAAACTTGCGATAAAACGCGAAAAACCTATTGACAATAAGAATCTGATTATGAAGCATTTTGATTTTGCCGACTTCAGTAGAATCCCAAAAAGACTGCTTAAAATGTCAACTGTTCAAAGAAAGGTCATAGTAGAAAATATTCTTTCTGCTAATGAATTTTCAGGGCTAAAGGAACGAAAAAAAATGGCGATCACTAAGACGCCCGATCAATTAATTAAAGCCAAAAGAAACTTCGAACCTAAATCTTTCTACATGTAAAACTCAAAGGTCAAATAATTTACACATTTTGCTTAATTAGTCTAAGAGACGACGCAAACATTTGGGTTTTTTGTCAACCAAGCAGCTGCCGCTGAGTAGTGTAGCCGGGGAGCATTGCTCGTGATTTGCTATGGATGCTGAAGCGACCCTTCCCTCTAACTGGGTATACTATGAAGGTATATGTTGCAGTTGATTTTTTTTTCAGTTAATTTTTATATTTCCTTTGTTTCAAATTCATTAGCATACATTCCATACCCAAAAAAAATGGAAAAATAAAAACTAAGCGCGATAAAAAATTAACTAAAAAAATGTACATCATGATGATGATGATGACGATATCAAAAGTCATTGAAGTAGGTGAAGTGTTAGATTTTCTGAATGTCCGTTTTCGTGGGGTCATTAGGCCGTCAGGAGGGGATTTTAAGGTCGACTTCTCGCGACTTTCTTCTCTTTCGCTCCTCCGCGCGACTTCCTCGTTCAAAAAGTAGACTTGTAGGCAAGTCTAGTGAACGGTAAAGTAATGTTAAATCGTCGTGTACTGTCGCGTTTTGTAACAATCATCGTACTTTGCAATTTGGAATAATTCCATCGCACTTTGTAACGGGAAACTTTAGTAATCACGATCACTTCCAGCTATGCGATTCCCTTTCATGACTTTGATCTCCGTGAAGTCCAGCCATGAAACTTATTGTGCGCGGGCTTGTTTGTTTGTTTATTATTATTACTATTATAATTATTAGTATATTGAACAGCGAAGCTTTCGTTTATACAGAGTGTCCCAAAAGTTCGTTCCTCTAATTTAATGCACTATAACTTTTGATCAAAACTTTATTTTTACATGAAATTTCTAGAAGATGTTTATTTCTCTATCGAGTACATCTATTCAGAATTTCAGTGACTGGCACACCCTTTTTGTTTTTTTATCATATTCTGTAGCCGTTGTAGCATGGAGTGGAACACGGCGTGCAGAGCCACAGATGATCCATTTTGAACTTTTCTATCTCCCGGTGCGCAGGAGCCAGTTCAACCCCCAAACCTGGCAATATTTGTTAGTTTGGGTACCTGAGAAAAAAAAAAATTGGGGGGGGCGTTCATCTAAAAAGGATTATCATCCCGGTCCCTTTCAACAGAAAGGCTTTTGTACTTCTTTACAAATTTGAGACGAGCTGGGTGTTACTTGGCAGACTAAGCAGATAGGTTTTTTTTGCCATCTCAGGGGCTAATTTTAAACATTCGCTTTTCATGGTCCTTTTTGGACTTGGCTTGCTAATTACGTGAGACCTTTCACGTCGAGTCTCCTATTTTGTATCTAGCCCTCTTTAACACTATTTTAGCTGCTTTCTTCGGGACTTTTGGTCTTCCACTGCGTTTCTTGCCTTCAAAAATTTCATTTTTCCATGATCATTTTACCACCAACATTCGGTTTTTATTCCAGATTTTTAGCAGTTTCTACAACAGATAAGCCCTTAAATAAAAGTGTACATGCTCGGACCTAACTGAACGTTTTTTGCGTTAAGGGGGTTTATCTTTCGTGATATTCACAAAAAATAAGGAAGGAGTTCCACCAATTCGGGCTATAAAATACAAAATTATGTGGCTGGAAAATATACTCGCGCACGCGCACTTTTGGCGCGGAAGTACACAAATCGAACATTCGAGTCAAAGGATGACATAACAAGTATGAAAATAGTAAGTTAGATTGAAAGACACAACGATTGATTAAATGATTTGCTTACCAAGTCCAATCGTACTGAAATACAGACTTATATAGTAGAGGAACGAACTTTTGGGACACCCTGTACACTTAAACAACAAGTAACCTTGCAACCACTGCGAAGAGATCTTTCAAATCTGTGCTTAATATTAGTTCGATTACAAACATGCAAAGAAACTGAACCATTCTACAATCCTGGACAAAACTACCTGAGAGAATGTTTCGTTAATGCGCACTACCTAACGCAATGAAACTATTTTCAAATCAACGGCTTTGTGTAAAGAACAACCCCTCCCCCAGTTCAAAGTTGCTTCCTACAAACGCTTGGGGATCCGGCTTTCTTTTTAAGACCCGACAACACTGCTTCCAGTGGGAGGGTGAGGGAAGGGAAGAATCGGTCGGCTACGAAGTTTAGAAAAAAAGCCCCCCCAAGTATGCAATTTTCTCAACAGTTTTGTCCAAGATTGTAGCGACTTTGTTTTCTTTTTCTATCTAAAACTCCGGATGGCCATGCGATTTACCACCAAAACGCAGAGCTGATAGGATGAAAAATTTCACAACGGCTTACCTGTAGGGGCGGACGGACGGATTGACGGGCGGACGGTCACTTGATTACCAAATTTCTCGCATTTTTAGTTACCATTTTTTCTTACCCATGGTGCTCTGCTGAGCGCGTGAAAGCTCCGCCATTATTATTATTATTATTATTATTATTATTATTATTATTATTATTATTACTTCGCGAAACAGCTTTCGTCAAATGGTAAGAATCAGGAAGTAAAGACGGCTAACGATGGGTAACAGTGGCCATGAGAGCATGACAGTTTAATTCACTCGGAATAGTCAAGTTTGATAAAATCTTTGAAACATTATGTCACACTACGCAAGAGAGAAAAATGTCATTCCCATAATGGCTCTTTCATTCTCTTATAGCAAGAGTTTCACTAATATCTACGTTTTTATTCCATAAATTTAAAGGAAATGTTTCAATCTACAACTTTCATGGTTTTGTTGCAAATTTAATAGCAATGATGATACTTCTTTCTCGACTCGCCTGCCGGGAGTAGTAACGTTAATATTTATCAGGTCGACCACACCCTAGGAGAGCAATCTTCTCTCCGTACCCTCTTAACCGTTTTCTTTATGTACAGACGGAGGTGAACTAATGGTTACCCTGAAAGCATTGGTAGCCATAATTGAAAAATTGCACCTCAACAAGCGATAGTACGAGCGTACTGCTAAACAAATGACCGAAAGGGCCCCAACGGTTTTATATATTATATTTGGTTCGGCGAAAACCCCAAGGAGGATGATTCAATAAAGTTTATATGGTGGTACTTACATGTAGCCACCTTTGCCCAATAAGAATACGTAAGGCATTTCAATAGAATAACCAAATAAAAATATTTGGGCAAGAAGGAAGGGTTTCAAACCACGTGGCATCAACCCAAGTCGCTGTAATTGCCAGCACACCACCTTTAACAATAACAAGGCGTAAGTATAACCGTATTTTGTAAGTCACTCAACCAACAAACAAGAGTTTAAATAAATGTCTTTAACAAGTAAATTTAACTGTTCTAAATGAGGAAAGAGATAAGCAATTTTCGTAAGTTATGTCCTTAATTGATGACGATATTAATCACTGATTAATGTTGACCAAGTAAGTTGAATCACTCTCAAAACGTTTATTACAAAGTTCGATGGACAGTTTTTACAAATGGCGACAGCTTTGGTGACACGGTTTATTACAAATTGCGACAAGTATTACAAAGTGTGATGGATTAATTACAAATTTCGACAGTACAGTCTTACTCAACAAATACCAACACACCCTTGACGAATATTCATAGCGCTTGCTAGTTAAAATATTAATAAATTTTTCTCCTTTGTACGTTAAAGGAGCCAGAGTGTTGTTTGATGCAACCGTCATGTTGAGTTCATGGAATAAATTTTTTGCCTCAGAAAAAGTCTATCTTCTGGAAGCCCTAAATATTTCTGTTATCTGACACTGATTTGAAGTCAGCTATGTGTAATTGGTTCTTTTTTATGGCAACACGAGGGTATATCGCCCCAGTAATGTCCTAGTAGTGTTCCAATTAAAGAGGCAAGTAATAGAACATTGTACGCTCCACTTTTAGGATTATTTGTTTAGAGTGGTCATATTCCTGGCATGCATACTTACTTGACGAATTATTTTTTTAGCGCTTGCTAGTTAAACTTTTAAAACATTTTCCTCTTTTGTACGTTAAAGGGGCCACAGTGTTTTTTGATGCAACCTTCATTTTCACACAATAAATTTCTTCCATCATCAGAGAAAGTTTATATTTTACCAGCCCTACAAATTTCTGTTTAATACCTGATACTGATTTGAAGTCAGTCATTTGTAATTAGTTCTTTTTGATGGCAACGCGAGGGTCTATATGGCCCAAATAGTTTTCTAATTTAAAGGCAAGCAATATAACATTGTAAGCTCCGCTTTTAGAATTATTTGTTTAGCACGGTCATATCCAGCATGCACACTTACTTGACGAATATTAATAGCGCTTGTTTGTTAAACTAGTAATATTTTTTTCTCCTTTCTACGTTAAACCAAAGGGGCCACATGGTTTTTTTGGTGCAAAATGTATTTGCATGGAATAAATTTCTGTCATTAGAAATAGAGTAAATTCTGCCAGCCCTATAAATATTTCTGTTATCTGGTACTGATATTGTTGTTGTTGTTGTTTGCTTTTTCAGCAATGCGAGGGTCAATATGGCCCTAGCAGTTTTCCAAGTTAGAGGCGAGCAATATAACATTGTAGGCTCCATTTTCAGAATTATTTGTTTAGTAAGGACATATCCTTATGCATGCATAAGATTGTTTAAATAGAAAAAATAATAATATTTATTAAAACCTGTATATTCAGTGCTAACGCCAAAGGAGCGCTTTAATTGCAAACTTGGCGTTCTTATTTATAATAATCAGAACCTTCATAAATTTTAGCATTCACAATTTGCTACACCAGGTGAGATATACATTCAGCATTTGTTCTCGCAAAATAAGCACTGAGCTTAACATTCAATTCCATGTTTAACCTAAATCAATCGGTTATCTACGATTATATTCATGTTCAAATGAAAAATGTTGCCTCCTTTGTAAGCAATTTTTTCATTTTTTCTAAATATAAAATGACTGGTAGCAGGCTTAACTTTACGTGAGATAAATAGGATCAGTTTTAGTTTAGAGCTTGATTTGAATGAGAATCGTTAGAAGTTATTTATTGCTCCCATTTTTATTTTGAACATCTCTGAAAATGAAACATTGATTCATTCATTTGAACTGACACTCGGCAGAATACATCTTTGAGGTAAATCATATCAGCGATTTGTCTAATTCATCATATNTAAGCACTGAGCTTAACATTCAATTCCATGTTTAACCTAAATCAATCGGTTATCTACGATTATATTCATGTTCAAATGAAAAATGTTGCCTCCTTTGTAAGCAATTTTTTCATTTTTTCTAAATATAAAATGACTGGTAGCAGGCTTAACTTTACGTGAGATAAATAGGATCAGTTTTAGTTTAGAGCTTGATTTGAATGAGAATCGTTAGAAGTTATTTATTGCTCCCATTTTTATTTTGAACATCTCTGAAAATGAAACATTGATTCATTCATTTGAACTGACACTCGGCAGAATACATCTTTGAGGTAAATCATATCAGCGATTTGTCTAATTCATCATATCACTAATTTGTAGGAAATTTTGGAGGATAGGAAAATATATTGTTGAACAAAAAAGCACCTGCTTCCTACCTCCTTGTTTGCTTGTGTAAGGAAACACCTGACATCAAAACATCAACTCAAGAGAAGCAATAATCGACGAAATTAAACAGCGGACGGAACGTCTTAGCAAGTCAGTTTTCTCTTCTTAAGTCGTTATTATGGGGTCACTGTTTGGAACAAAGTTATGTGAAGACCAGAAGCCACCTTTTGCACTTTCGGTAACGACTGCAACCATATCAGCCACCTTGAGCGTCATCACGGTGCCCGGAAACTTGCTGATTTGTTGGGCAATCGTTAAAGATCCAAACAAAGAACTAAAAGTGTCTTTCAATTACCTGGTATTTAATCTTTCCATTGCTGATCTCATCACTGGACTGATAACAGAGCCTTTATTCGTACTCTTTCATGTCGGGGAAGCACAGAATTACCAAGTCATGAAACGTGTACAGATTGTCCACATTGCTTATTTTATATCTTGTGCGGCTTCAATACTCAGCATTTCCGCTTTAGCAACAGAGAGATACCTGACCGTTACCTCAAACTACAGACGAACTTACTCGCGCTCAAAAACCATCACCGGATCTGTTCTGATATGGATTTTCTCCATCGCTATTTCAAATGTTTACTTTGCCACTGGTTTCTATACATTTGTCTTTGTTTTTGCCAACACAACAATCATTGCCACTCTAGTGATCATAACGTATGCGTACATTCGAATATATCGAAGCCTCCACGCCCATGTTGAACGCGGGACATTCTCACAGGACGACAGATTCGCACAACAAAGGTTAAAGTATGAGAAGAAGGCGACAAGATCTTTTCTTCTCGTGCTCTTCGTTTTCGTCATCTGCAACGTAACTTCATGCGTCATAATCTACATCATCTTACTTTGTTACACATGCAGCTGTGACGTCATACACTGGCTGCGAGATTTCCAGTTTCTGATAGCCCTCATCAACTGTGCTGCAAATCAGTTTTTGTATGCATGGCGGATGCCCCCGTTTGTCCGAGCCTTTAAAAATCTATTTTCTCGTGCTGTGGGTTGCGTCAGGCCAAAAAGGGTAGAAACTTGTACAGGTTCAGTAAGGCTTTCTTCACTGACGGCATCTGACAGCACTTCGACAACAAACCAATCATTCCGTACAGAAAGTTTGTCTGGAGCACAGTCGTTGTGATACAGGCAAGACTTCCATTTGCCTAAGGGTCTTTGACAAAAGAACCCGGGATATCAGGAGAGTGGACACTTTTGAACTAAGACACTCGGGAATGCGGGAACTCGTGAAACAGAAGAGGAATTTACTTCAAGAACCCGGGAACTCAGAATGGCTCTAAGGAGATCAATAAATCTCGCATCACAAGTTTTAAAAGGGGCCAACCGTTGGGAAACGCCATTTGCCTCGGTTCATACCTGCAGATCTTTTAACACCGCTAGGGTCCAAAGTGTATTTTCAGATCATTGTGCATAACGCTTCCTAATTTAACTTAGCGTAGTTTATTTTTAGCGACTAAAATCGACAAAACTTCAGGCAATAACTGAAGATATTTGATCTTTATGATATTTCTCTTCTGGTTGAGTACTTAATTATTTGTATCGATAAAACACGCGTCCCTGACGTTACACTAGCAACTTCACGTTCAAGCTCAATAGTTTATGTTTGTCTCTATTTTATTTACGCGAGTAAACTTTACGTGCGTGTACACGCACGTAAAAATTACGCGACAGTGGAAATCCACCCGGCTTAATAACAGAATTTGTTTATATCAACTGAGCTGTTAAATCAATTTACCACCGTTAAAAGCCAGATTGAAAAAGCCCGGATGAGTGGAGTGCTAGTTCTTCGTCAAAGCAAATTAAGTTAGTAATAGGTTGAGATGGGTTTATATTGGTCATTTTGAATTAGCGCTTGAGTCTGGGTCAGTGTTGTGTCGAATTGCATCATGGAACTTTTGTGTGGACGCTGTCATTTCTTTCATTGGCTTTTGCGAAGTTGGAATTAGGAAAGGACTGAAAAAAAACATCTGGTACATGCTCTGTTTATCTTAAATGCTTGAATCCCTAATATTACGATTTGTTATTCTCGAAAGCAATTTCCATCTTACAGAATACGGATGTATTTATCTGCTTTGAAATTACTCTCAGGCTGAGTCTTTTCATTATTACGCTATTATGTTTAGAGACCCCCAGCNTTGAAAAAGCCCGGATGAGTGGAGTGCTAGTTCTTCGTCAAAGCAAATTAAGTTAGTAATAGGTTGAGATGGGTTTATATTGGTCATTTTGAATTAGCGCTTGAGTCTGGGTCAGTGTTGTGTCGAATTGCATCATGGAACTTTTGTGTGGACGCTGTCATTTCTTTCATTGGCTTTTGCGAAGTTGGAATTAGGAAAGGACTGAAAAAAAACATCTGGTACATGCTCTGTTTATCTTAAATGCTTGAATCCCTAATATTACGATTTGTTATTCTCGAAAGCAATTTCCATCTTACAGAATACGGATGTATTTATCTGCTTTGAAATTACTCTCAGGCTGAGTCTTTTCATTATTACGCTATTATGTTTAGAGACCCCCAGCAGGTTTGACTAATAAGGTCTTTAACACATACTAAAAAGTCACAATTGGTGTAAATTATACCTTTAATTGCAGCATATTTTCCATCAATCATAGATCGGCGCGGTTAGAGAGTTCTTTTGTAAAATTCTCTAATTACTGTAAGTTGTAATTAGTCCATCAGGTTGAGCACAAAGTCATTACATTTAAATTAACGCGCTATATAAAGAATCAAAAAAGCAAGCCTGAGGTAATTACACCTGTTTACTTTATTGATTGTCTTACAATTACTTCCGCAAACGAGATCATAACGATTAAATGGAAAAATAATGACAATTTATTAACCACTTTAGAAAACGTTCTTCAAATTTTACCACCTCCTCTCTATTCTGTTTTTTTTTTAAGTACACAACCGCGGAAAGTATCCAAGACAATGATTACTTGTTTTCAAACGTTGGGTGTTAGAAACCCTTGAGATAAAACGTTTAAAAATTAATTAGCTTTAATCATTTTCCTAAATATCAGTCACATTGTACCGCTCTGCTCTTTTCCTGTGAGACTGAACGCGTGTTTTTTTGTTTTTGTTTTTTTTTTGCGAACATTATAATTAAAGTGCCCCACTGAAATTTTGCCATTATTAGTCGTTGCTTCTTAGTGTTCAAGAGAAATGTCTACCACTATTCCAACGACTGTCTCTTCTCTAACCGTCTCGAAACCATCGGCAATGGTGCAAACTTCCAAAACTGATTTGTCTCCTTTTACTGCCAGTGAAGAAAACCATCAATTTACAAGTTCTTTTTCAATTCGCGCTATTTTGTCTTCTACCTCCACTTCTCACGCAGAGGCTTCCTTTTTGTCTAACCCATTTTATCGTCATCTTCTCTTCGCTGAAGATGCTGGTCAGGTTGATTACTCACCGTTTCCTCAGCATCACTGCTGTCAACACGGAGCATGCGCTGTTGGCTGGCAAGGTACAGAGCTATTTTATCAAGGTATTTCGATACAGCTTTTAGGGGACCATACTGATATTTTTCAATCGCCTTAAAAGCGACTTTATCCTTAGTCCGATCGCCATAAGCTTTCTTCAGTAATACACTTCTAGCCTGCTTTGGACTGAAGTTTGTTAAAATATAGTTTTAAGAAAAATCGATTTTACCATGACAACCATGAACAAAAAACTTTGAAATCAATAAGAGCAGAATATTGCACAATCTACACCTACTATTGAAAGTTCCACACCAGGAACTTAAAGTGTGTTTTTTAGCAAATGCTGTTCGTGATCAAAAAACAAAATTTTGAGACGAGTGTGGAGCGTGAGAGACCAGTATAGCGAGCGTAAGCAAAGGCATTTTTGAGCGACGCGCGTCAAGCGCAAGTTGACTTTTCGCATTATTGGGCAGTGATTGTGCTCAAATTCTAAGAAAATCGTCTCTAAAAGATAAAACACTTTAAGCAATACAAATTGGGTACAGTCAAGGTATATTAAAAGGAGAAGGCCCGTCTTCCGGTTGATATGCGTCGCCCCAAAACATCTCTGCTTTACTATAATCTTTCTTACGTGTCTCGCTTCGGCCTTTCAGAATAACACCTATTCTGCGGGCTGAAATAAGACTGGTATTCGGACAACAGAGCTAAACAACTGAAAGGACTTTTTCAAGTAAATAAAAAAACATGATCAGTCACGACTACAAATCTAGTTCATGGCTTGTAATTTGACTTTTGCACATTTTTGTACGAAATTTAGATCTTGATAAAAAAGACGCGGACAAGAAAGAAAAAGACAAACCAAATAAGAGATCACGCACCATTTTCACACCAGTGCAGTTGGAACAGTTAGAAAGCACATTCTCCAAGCAGCAGTACGTGGCAGGAGAGGAGAGACGTCGACTGGCTGCCTCACTTAAGTTGACCGAAACACACGTAAAGGTCTGGTTCCAAAACAGGAGAATCCGGTTTAGAAAACAGGCTCAACGGCAAGACCAGACTGCATAGTTTATCTGCATCGGTTTCTGACTGTGGAATTTAAACCCTGTAATTAATTAGCTACAGTATGCCAAACCTTCTAGATGAGGGTATGGCAAAGGACTTAATATTTTGCCTGTAGGACAAACTTGTGCTATAGGGATTCTTGTAATGAACAGGTTTCTCTTAGCTTAAGACTAAATCTTCCTTTCCTCGATTCTTGAGGATCTAGGTGGGGTGGGGGAGGTAAGACGAACTCTCTCTCCGCACTCTCGCGAGTGGAGCCGGAAAGTTTGCTTGCAGGCCAATCTTGAACAGGAGAGGAAAGAAAAGAAGGGGCTATTTTCAACATTCTCTCCCTCATCTTTTTCAGAAGATTATTTAAGTGAGCTTTAGAGATGCTACGAAACTGGGCAGAAATAATACTACTAATAATAATAATAAAGATTTGGAGGTAGCATAGCCACAAAGTGGTTCTTCGTCTACCCGGTTACTGATCGCATTGGAATTTGGAAATGTTGGTTTTTGAGGAGAGGGGAAAACCGGAGTACCCGCAGAAAAACCTCTATAGGAGCAAAGGAGAGAACCAACATTAAACTCAACCCACATAAGGCGTCTACCTCGGGATTTGAACCCGGGCCACATTAGTGGGAGGCGAGCGGTCTCACCAGTGCGCCAGCCCTTGTTCCCCAAGAAATGGTTAAAGGAGGCAGTTTCGTACTACAGCGTTTTAAACGTTTTTTTTCTGCCGAGATGGCGCGCGCTAGGATGAAATTACCTTGGAATGGATAAATATCAGCAAATAATGATATGTGAGCTAGTGCAGGTCACACTAAAACACCTTTTTCCGTTCCAGTTCAGTCGTGTAGTCCTTTTATGACGAAATTTGGAAATAATGTTACCAAATGACCCCTTCCCCCCCCCCAACACTCAATCGCTGCGCAATAGGAGATTTTCTCTAATGAAGCCAAGAGATTCATTCAACCAACCGCATTTCATATTACTTCCAACCATCCGAGACCCTCTTGGCGTGTTTTGCGTCAATCTTCCTCCTGCAATTTATTAACGCCTTTATTTTTACACTGATTTGATGTGGTAGATATTTAATGGTCATAAAACTAATAAGACCGTGGCCCTCTTAAATGCCGTTATGTGATAATATAGTATAAAAGTTACAAGTAACAATTGTATTACGTTAAGAACTCTTATAAAGCAAACCTAAATTAAATCTTTACACTTAACAATTTCCTACATAACTAACAACATCGAAACAACAAGTGTACTAAGTGTCTAAAATAACGAAAGTTATGAAAATCCTGTAATTGAACTCCGGGATGTACACTGTGAGCCTGAATCTTTTCAGGCCTCCTTTCACTGCTTTTCGACGCAGCTTTTCTAAAACTACAATAATCTTTTTTACAAAGAAAGACTAGAAAACATTCTCTGAGTTAAATGTTTAGGTGGGTGTCGTTGAGAGCCTGAAACTTTTAGCCTCTACCATTTTCAGCTGTTGCAACTTTTTTCTAAACTGACAAGGCAGCAAAAATCCCTACCCTAATCCAGATGTATTACCCACTACACAAATCAAACTTTGAAAAGCATCTCTGATCATGGATTCAGAACTGTGCAAAATTGTTTGACATAGGACAAAAGTAAGGCTCTTTGTGAAAAAAAAAAAAGTTATCAAGCAACCCTAACAGCACATTCTTGAAAAACTTTGGTCTCTTATGCGGAAATCTCCTCGCCTCGCCTACTGTAAATAAGGTTAATATAACGGAAATGATCGCCAATAAAATAAAGTTCGAACGTATACTACGTTGATTTTCCTAGGAATGATTTAGTTTTCGAATTTCCTCATATCGTCAAGGTCAGCTCCTGTTGATTGTTCATTACTCACTGATACAGTAGAACGTTTTTCTCTTCCTTCCCATCCCACGAAGATCGGATGGATCCGACCAAACGCCCTGCGAAAACTACCCATCCGCCACGCATATAAAAACTGGTTAAAAGCGGAGTTTACCAGCACAAGTAGGTATTGGAGATCCCTAAACCAGTGTATTAGCACACAGCTACATGTGCTACAGAGGTTGATAACATAAATCATAACACAAGATGGAAAACTACACAAAAAGAACGAAACTAAGATAAGAAAGAAACATTTTGTTGCCTTTTTTTCTACGTGAAGCCCTTTACGATTAGTTCCGTGAGCAAGAACTGATCTCATATGCCTTGCATGAGCGTTTAGTCTCCGAAAAATGCGAACGAAATAAAAAAGTAATAACGCCATTGTTAATATTAATGTAGTGTTAGCGAAAATAAACGCTAACGTGTAAAATCCAGCCACGAAGTAGAGAAAAGGCAAGCCTCCTGAAAAAACCCATATTGCAACAGATGCAGCGATAACTTGTGAAGAAGACAGCTTTCTGGTGGTTATAGAAGTCACTGCTATATAGCGGTCTGTGGCTAATGCAGCTATGCTCAACACAGAAGCAGTAGAGGACATGAAATATGACATATATACTACCCAACGCAAGCCTAAGACTTGATGGTGCATCGCTTCAGCGCTGTGGTACCACACAAAAATGGGTTCAGTAACAATTCCAATAAAGGAGTCGGCTATTGCAAGGTTCAGAACCAAATAGTTGAAAGATGATTTCAGTTCCCTGTTCGGGTCTTTAATGATTGCCCAGCAGATCAGCAAGTTTCCTGGGACGGTTATGAGGCACAAAATTGCCGAAACGCTTGCTGATGTGACAGAGGTAGCGAACGGTGACCAGACATCGTCGCAGAGATTGCTGCTGAACTTCATCTCTTTCTTGAAAATAAATAATATTTAAGAGCAGCTGTCTGTAAATATCGAGAATTCGCCTTCAAAACTGAAATTTCGAAATGCTTCATTTTCTGTCAGGAAAATCCCTTTGGAGAAACATTTTCGAAAATCACAATCAAATTTTTCAAAGGATTTTCTTTTTCGAGAAAACCGCCAAAAAGTGAAATGCTGCCCCACGTCATATAGTCGCCGGTCTAAAATTAAACCTTTGAATTTTACCATTTTCGAAGCCCTCGGGAAAAAGGGCGGTTTAAGGAAACAAGTTCATCTGTGGCAGTTAAGTAAGGCATCTCAGTTAAAATACTATTTGGTAAAAATATTGCAAGATAATGCATTTTTTACTCGGTTAAAAATCGCCCAAAGATTCCTATCTTCAGCACTTTCATAAGAAAATGCACGTTGGAATCGTCACGCAACCGAGGGTAACATAAACTCCAAAAAATTGTCTTGAATTCACATTTTTGCGTGGTGATCAGGAAATTAGTTTTTACTTGCAAAATCGAAAGATTGATTGAGTCTTCTATTACTCTGGTATGACTTGACTAGTTAGGTCTAGTTAGAAAGTTAGATAGTGGGCGATCGCAATGTACCAGCTCTGAAAGGTCAAACGGCCGTTTCCATAAATGTCAAAAATGCTAAGGAAAGTATGGAGACTTTCATCAAAATATATATTTTTTGGAAATTAGATTTACTTGACATAAATTTTTTGATCTGAGTCGTGTGGTGCATTTTATACAAAGAAATTGCTAGAAAGAAAACGGACTAAGATTCAGAAAAACATTGAATTGAAAACGGTAAATAATTAGCCCATCTCTCTTACGTGCCTCGCGTCGGTCTTTCAGAATAACACCTGTTCTGCGGGCTAAAATAGAGACTTTTTTATTCAGACAACAGTGCCAAATAGTTGAAAGGACTTTTTCAAGTGAAAAAAACAAGATCAGTCACGACTACAAATCCAGTTCATGGCTTGTGATTTGACTTTTGCACATTTTTGTACGAAATTTAGATCTTGACAAAAGGAAAGTTTGCTTGCAGACCAATCTTGAAAGGGATAGGAGAGAAAAGAAGGAGCCATTTTCAACATTCCCTCCCTCATCTTTTTCAGAAGATTATTTAAGTGAGCTTTAGAGATGCTAAGAAACTGGGCAGAAATAACACTTATAATTATAATAAAGATTTGGAGGTAGCACATCCACAAAGTGGTTCCTCGTCTACCCGATTCCTGATCAAATGGGAATTTGGAAATGTTGGTTTTTGAGGAGAGGGGAAAACCGGAGTACCCGCAGAAAAACCTCTAGGAGCAAAGGAGAGAACCAACAACAAACTCAACCCACATATGGCGTCGATGCCGGGATTTGAACCCGGGCCACATTGGTGGGAGACGAGCGCTCTCACCAGTGCGCCAGCCCTTGTTCCCCAAGAATTGGTTAAAGGAGGCAGTTTCGTACTACAGCGTTTTAAAGGTTTTTTTTTCTTCCGAGATGGCGCGCGCTAGGATGAAATTACTTTGGAATGGATAAATATCAGCAAATAATGATATGTGAGCTAGTGCAGGTCACACTAAAACACCTTTTTCCGTTCCAGTTCAGTCGTGTAGTCTTCTTATGACGAAAGTTGAAAAGAATGTTACCAAATGACCCCCCAACACTCAATCGCAGCGCAATAAGAGATTTTCTCTTATAAAGCCGAGAGATTCATTCAACCAACCGCATTTCATATTACTTCCAACCATCCGAGACCCTCTTGGCGTGTTTTGCGTCAATCTTCCTCCTGCAATTTATTAACGCCTTTATTTTTACACTGATTTGATGTGGTAGATATTTAATGGTCATAAAACTAATAAGACCGTGGCCCTCTTAAATGCCGTTATGTGATAATATAGTATAAAAGTTACAAGTAACAATTGTATTACGTTAAGAACTCTTATAAAGCAAACCTAAATTAAATCTTTACACTTAACAATTTCCTACATAACTAACAACATCGAAACAACAAGTGTACTAAGTGTCTAAAATAACGAAAGTTATGAAAATCCTGTAATTGAACTCCGGGATGTACACTGTGAGCCTGAATCTTTTCAGGCCTCCTTTCACTGCTTTTCGACGCAGCTTTTCTAAAACTACAATAATCTTTTTTACAAAGAAAGACTAGAAAACATTCTCTGAGTTAAATGTTTAGGTGGGTGTCGTTGAGAGCCTGAAACTTTTAGCCTCTACCATTTTCAGCTGTTGCAACTTTTTTCTAAACTGACAAGGCAGCAAAAATCCCTACCCTAATCCAGATGTATTACCCACTACACAAATCAAACTTTGAAAAGCATCTCTGATCATGGATTCAGAACTGTGCAAAATTGTTTGACATAGGACAAAAGTAAGGCTCTTTGTGAAAAAAAAAAAAGTTATCAAGCAACCCTAACAGCACATTCTTGAAAAACTTTGGTCTCTTATGCGGAAATCTCCTCGCCTCGCCTACTGTAAATAAGGTTAATATAACGGAAATGATCGCCAATAAAATAAAGTTCGAACGTATACTACGTTGATTTTCCTAGGAATGATTTAGTTTTCGAATTTCCTCATATCGTCAAGGTCAGCTCCTGTTGATTGTTCATTACTCACTGATACAGTAGAACGTTTTTCTCTTCCTTCCCATCCCACGAAGATCGGATGGATCCGACCAAACGCCCTGCGAAAACTACCCATCCGCCACGCATATAAAAACTGGTTAAAAGCGGAGTTTACCAGCACAAGTAGGTATTGGAGATCCCTAAACCAGTGTATTAGCACACAGCTACATGTGCTGCAGAGGTTGATAACATAAATCATCACACAAGATGGAAAACTACACAAAAAGAACGAAACTAAGATAAGAAAGAAACATTTTGTGGCCTTTTTTTCTACGTGAAGCCCTTTACGAGTAGTTCCGTGACCAAGAACTGATCTCATATGCCTTGCATGAGCGTTTAGTCTCCGAAAAATGCGAACGAAATAAAAAACTAATAACGCCATCGTTAATATTATTGTAGTGTTAGCGAAAATAAACGCTAACGTGTAAAATCCAGCCACGAAGTAGAGAAAAGGCAAGCCTCCTGAAAAAACCCATATTGCAACAGATGCAGCGATAACTTGCGAAGAAGACAGCTTTCTGGTGGTTATAGAAGTCACTGTTATATAGCGGTCTGTGGCCAATGCAGCTATGCTCAACACAGAAGCAGTAGAGGACATGAAATATGACATATACACTACCCAACGCAAGCCTAAGACTTGATGGTGCATCGCTTCAGCGCTGTGGTACCACACAAAAACGGGTTCAGTAACAATTCCAATAAAGGAGTCGGCTATTGCAAGGTTCAGAACCAAATAGTTGAAAGATGATTTCAGTTCCCTGTTCGGGTCTTTAATGATTGCCCAGCAGATCAGCAAGTTTCCTGGGACGGTTGCTACGCACAAAATGGCCGAAACGCTTGCTGTTGTGACTGAGGTAGCGTACGGTGCCCAGACATCGTCGCAGAGATTGCTGCTGAACTTCATCGCTTCCTTGAAAATAAATAGTATTCAACTCGAACAGCTACTAGTTCCTGTCACCTGTCGCAAGCGGGTAAATTGCGATTTTTTTTTTTTACACCAATTCTTTTACTTCTGTGTAACCGTCCCAGCTAGTGCGTGGAAACCCCCTAGAAGATGAAGCAAAAAGCTTGCTTATAGCTAACAAAAAATTGCTAGAGGATGAACAAAAATTCAAGAGTGAAAAATAAAAACTACGGATACGTGTCTGTATTTGTTTGCTTTTTTTTTGGCAAAGAAGCACTTTCAAACACAAACATGAATTCTACATAGATTCTCTGTTCATTCTTAAAAGCCTTTTACAGCAAAAATAAGACACGTACCAGGGCAGGTCTTGCTTCTTAGTCAGCATTCTTTCTCGGCATGAAGGTTTTCGATGTTTCAACAAAATGTCCCGATAATGTATTTTAAAGCAGATGCTTTTTTTGACAGCTTGATATCTATGTAGACAATTCGCGTTAAAACAATTTTCTTATGATAAATATAGAAATGTGGTAAACAATTTCCTATGTAATATGAATCTGAGTCAAGACCCATACCGAGAAGAAAACTAATCTATTTCCTGAGAGTTAAAAATACATCAATATATTCAAACAACGCCTCAGTTTACGTCAGCTTGTGAAAAAAAAGATTTACCTCGACAGATCTAAAAGCAACGGAGTAAAATAAACAGTTTAATAATAAGAATCCCTTATGCATGGCGAACATATTGGTAAATGGAGACATATGACTCGAATTTCATCAAACTCGAAGTAGTTATGTGAAGCGTTGTAGCAAGCCCAAATAGCAGAAAATCCATTCTTCTAATTATTTTTTACAAAAGGCCTCGCTACATTTCGCTTTAAAGAATAACATCGCAATTGACAATTTCAATGCACAATTATGTCAACTTGGCGTAAAATTAAAAAGTGAAAAAAAAAAATTACAAATGAAATCAAATGAATTGCGGGTTGTTATTGTTAAAAGCATTTGTGCCATCTTCCGGTACTTGTAATTGCAATTGGAATTGAGGTAATTGTTCGCCGGGTTTAAGCATCTAAATCTATCGAATCTTAAATTAAGGTAAAAAAGACGGCAAGAAAAAAAAAATGAACGCGACAATTAGAACAAATCAGACCTTTTCAGTCTTTTCCCAACTATGGTGAAATTATTGTCATTCTTGTAACACAAGTTTAGGTTGATATTCTTGACAAAGAAGGTAAAAATTGCTGCTTTCAGTTATCACGCATCGCTTTAGCTACATGTTTGATATTGTCCTCAAAAACAATCGGGAAGCCAAAATTTCCTCAGTTTCATTAAAAACCTAGCATACCCAAAACATAACCACGACAAGACAATAGCAATTAGGGGCACCCAACGACGGTTTCCTCGTAAATACATTGAAAACACTTTTTACGCTATCCTAGGCGGCGCTATAATATCGGTCATCCTAGGGCAACTTGGGGCTTTTTGAAATTACAAGGGCTTCAGTATTTAATTTAACGTATTACGAAAATGAGAATTTTTCTGATTCCTCTCTTCATATTTTTTAATCCGAATATTTTAGGTTTTCTTTCTTCCACGAAAAATAGCCTAATCTGAGGAGTGAAATGTGAAAAAGTAACCTTCAGAAAATCGTAGGAAATTAGGTAAGCTTCGAAAAATGTACATGAAGGCAACGGTCATGTAGAAAATTTAGCCGTCCTCGCGTAATAGAAAATTCTAGGCAATATTTGCTCCCAGTCCGAACAAGATATTTTAAAGAAAACAGTCGTTGGATGCCCCTGAGCAACAGCAGGTATCCGTTAGCCCGTGTTGTTTGGTGTAAGGATTTCAGGTGACGTGTACGCACACGCCGTTTTCCCCATTGTATCCAGCGTCTTCGTTCCCCTTGACCAGTGAGTTCTTCAAGCCAGCAGCCAAATATTAATCTCGAGGTACGAGATTGCAATGCGTCTGCAAGAGGTGCTCTCGAACTCTTGCAGTCGTCAAAAAATACATATAGGAAATGCAAAATAGAAGACAGGTTGCTTTGTATCATACCCTTCGTTCTTCAGGCCTTTAAATGTTATTATTCACAATTCCATGTTCGTTCTTAAAGCTTTTGCCTACAGTCAACTCTCGCCTTGTGGACACCTCGCTATAACGGACACCCCGATAAAAAGGACAGTAGCTAAATCCCCGCCAAAAGCAAATTACAGACGTTTGACTGAAATAAACTCCCACTATTACGGACTCTCGCTAAAGAGGAACACTAACTCCAGGTCCCTACAGTGTCCGCTATTAAGGGAGTTGACTATATTAAGTTAAACTTCCTGAAATATTCGTCTACAGAAATGGGAGACTGCGGAGGCATTAAATTATAGACTGACTGCAAGACAACGGGCTGCGGGAGTGTGAACTAAAAGCACACTATTTAATTTAAAATCACTGCAGGACCACGGGAGCAGTTGATTGATATCGCTTCGTGGTGGTCGGGTACGTAAATTGCTCGCAAGATTGATTTACTGGTTAATCGACTAAAATCAATCGTTGCTTTACCTCGCAAAAAAGAATAATTTGTCGCTCTGCCGACCGATTATGGTGCAAGTACATAAACTCGTATTAAGCTTGAATTCCGTGTTTGCTTTGGTTTCTATCGCAGATTTCAATATATTCACGTAACCTTATGAACACGATCTTCATTCCCGTAAAATCATTCTCTGAAAGTTAGATTTTTCAGTGCTAACATAGTTATTAGAGGAGACTGGTTATGAAAAGCGGCAAACATCAATGATAAAAACAACAGCGCTGCAGTTTATGTTGGAAGCACCCTGAAAGTGCACAATCCTTTGTTTTCTGTTGGCAAATTGTTACGGAATAAATTAATGCAACGTTTTTATTGGTCAAAACAATCAAAATGATAGGAATTCTTTTGAACGTTGTGCACTTTCAGGTCCACAAAAACATATAACAAATGAGTCTGACGGGTTTCATAACCATTCCACTCAATTAACTATGGTGCTAACTAATAGCTACCTGCATAAAGTATCCTTCTCATGGGTTTAGTTACTCTAGATAAAAAATTTCTGTGAGGAGTTCATGGCTAATGCGCAGTTTACAACGATAACTTGATTTAATAGTAACTCTAAAACGGCTGCACAAACGGGAAGCAGCAAAATTTTATCTTAAAAACTGTCATAACTTAGTACACTAAACATTTAACACAACACATTCAACTCATCACACGCTAATGCATCTTTTGTTATCCCTCCAAAAAACAGTCTAAAGATTTTCCAGCAATCGCTTGTAAGCACTTCATCCAATGTCCCCCGCACAGCCTCGTGGGGTCTTTTCTTCTGTTGAAAACCACTGAAAAAGTGGCGGCGTGAAATACGGTGGAGGATCTTAGCCTCCAATCAGTTCGCACACTCCGATCCAACCTGTTCGGAATACAGTGTAGAAGGACTGGAAACCAGACAAACCGCCTGAAATAGAGAGGACAACTCTGACGTCACGTTACCATGGTAGAAAAATTTCTGGATCTCAATAATCTTTCTTTACAGAGACGGCCATTTGCATTGTCCCAAAGATGGAAGAAAAAGCATGGGCTACCATTTTGTTGCTAAGTGCAATTATGCACAGGAAAGTCATACATGACGATTTTTTCGTTTTTTGTTCTGCCATATTTGCAAAACCACGGTTTGTTGAGATGCAAAAATTTTGCTACCATGGCAAAGAGACGAAACGATTTCTCCTCTTTATTCTTAATTTCAGTCACGATATGATGTCTCCTGGTTTAGGCAGGAAATTTTAGTCAAAAACGTTTTGATTTATTTCTCCGCACCCGTTCTCGGTCGCCATAAGAAGATTGACAGGATCCAGTGGAAGTAATTCCATTTCATCCGTGGATTTAAAGCTTGCAGAAGTAATTCCATCAGGGCTGTGTGGTGGCTCTGTGATTCGGTAAGAAACAGTTTTACACAACAATGCAGAAATAGCGCGTCGAAAGTTTCGACTTTTCCAGGCGTATAAAAATTGGTTTAAGGAGCAGTTGATCAATGGAAATAAAAATTGCAAGTCTCTTAACCAGTGAATTAAAGTACAGTTGCAGCTGTCGCAGAAATTGATGACATATATCATAACCAGAGAGGGGAAAAGACAAACCATGAATATTCCTAAAATGATGTAAAAAGCGCGATTCACGTTTCTTTCCATCGACATGGCGTCTAATTTGACCTCCTTCTGGTAAAATGAGTCCCAGCGAGAAATTTGTGCCTTGAGTCTGTGATGAATTCGCGCATAGGAAAACGTTAGTATACTAACAACTATGATGAAGGCCATGTTCATAAACAAGAATGCAAACATGTAAAAGCCAATCATGAAGTAAAAGCATGGTAATGAAACAGACACCACCCATATCAATACTGATATCAAGGTCACTGTACTAGTGGATAACACTCTCTTGTAGTGCGACATCACCGTGAGATATCTATCAAGCGTTAAAGCTGCGATGCTCAGTATCGACGCTGTGTAAGAGATAAAAAACGGCAGGTGAATAAGCCAGATATTTTGCATGACTGAGTAGCCCATTGCTTCTCTCGTATGGAAAACGAAGAAGGAGGGCTCTGTGATTGCACCAACTACAAGATCGCTGATTGCTAATTGCAGTACGAAACAGTTGAATGAATTTTTTAGTTCTTTGTATGGATCCTTTAGCATTGCAACACACACTAAGACGTTACCAGGTACTGTGATAAGACAGAGAAGACCAGACATGGACGCCGTGAACACTGACAGAGAAAACGGTGGCAAAGTTTCCTCGCATAAACTTTTGACAAAGGGCATTATGACTTGCGATGTTTCAGTATATCATCATCCCTCACCTGTTTTAAAGAAAAAGAATACTTGTTATAAAAAGGGATGTCAGTAAAAAATTGTATTTTTACACTTTAGTCGGGGTCAAAAAGGTCACTTTTTAAACTGAGTCTAAAGTAAAAAAGCGTGTGGCAGTCGATGCATACATACATGTACGCCCGTNTCTGTGATTGCACCAACTACAAGATCGCTGATTGCTAATTGCAGTACGAAACAGTTGAATGAATTTTTTAGTTCTTTGTATGGATCCTTTAGCATTGCAACACACACTAAGACGTTACCAGGTACTGTGATAAGACAGAGAAGACCAGACATGGACGCCGTGAACACTGACAGAGAAAACGGTGGCAAAGTTTCCTCGCATAAACTTTTGACAAAGGGCATTATGACTTGCGATGTTTCAGTATATCATCATCCCTCACCTGTTTTAAAGAAAAAGAATACTTGTTATAAAAAGGGATGTCAGTAAAAAATTGTATTTTTACACTTTAGTCGGGGTCAAAAAGGTCACTTTTTAAACTGAGTCTAAAGTAAAAAAGCGTGTGGCAGTCGATGCATACATACATGTACGCCCGTGCGTACAGCTGAAATCTGGAAAAAATATGTGTTTTCTTTTAGTTTCTGAAGCGAGGACGGGTTTACCCTGTGTATTATATAATATGCCCCCAGACGCCCCCCCCGCCTTCCCCAGTTTGGAGCGCCTTCGCTGCTCTAATTCTTCTTCCCGTGCGTACATCTGCAAAATCTCACGCTACGCCCTGTCGTGTTTTAGGATAGGAAAACCCAATTGTTTACAAAAAACGATTTTCAGTTTCAACGTGATGCTCAGCGGGGTCAACTAAACTTCCTCATGCTGGCGTTAACACTCTACAGCTAGTTCAGGCTCTGGGTGATTTCTTTACAGAGGCAAAGAAAATCTGTAGTTTATATATAGGTTTCAGGCAAGGTTAAGCCTAGTAATGTTAAGCAAAACTCGCGTCACTCAAAACTTAAAATAAAAATCCTAATTTTGACTTTCTCTTTTCTCTATAAATATTTTGATTAAAGTCATGTACCCAGAAAAATATATAAAAGTGACTCGTGTTTATAGAAACAACTGGAAAACATCACACCCCATTGGTTCGTCTAGCGGTCACCGCATAGAAAGTATCTCACCTTTCTTAAAAATACTTTTTAACCCAAGAAAACAATGCAATGAAGAAATCATTACTATTTTTGGCGTCATATCCCCTATGCACAAGCATTTCGCAAGAAAAGATCTTGATACCTCTCTGGATAAATTCCTTTTATAAACTTTTCGCTCGACGGACTAAGTCAAAAGAGAGACTACTTGTGGTCTAAAAAAGATGGGCTTCATTTGCTTATCTCTTTACTGTCTTTAATGGCACTTTTCCAGGCTAAACCCTTAAAACCATTCCATACATGGTGCACGTACATCAATGATGTTTTCCAATTTCCGGTATAATAAAGATATATGCCTTATCCTATTTGAATGTTTACGCGGTCTACTCATCAATTGCATTTCCTTCTAAACACCATTTTTTCGAAAACTACGTGTACATAAATTTTAATAGGAACTAATTTAACTATTTTAACTTACTGACAATCACCAGCACCTTCAGTTGTCTACAAGTCCTGCCACCATTTACACCCACAAAATTTTGCTTCTCGCCACATATTTCCCAAAAACAGTAACTGATGAATAAAATCTAGTCTAATCGTACCAAGTTATACTGAATAATTAATTTCTACGGGCTGGTAAATATAATGTAACCTGAACGACGGAAAACTGTACACAAAGATCTCATTTATAGATATACCTTTTGTTTTTACGTTATTTTATGCACATTCTTTTGTGGCCATACAAACATTTTGAGTACAACGTTAAAAATTGTTCATTACTTACGGACTAATCTCTTACATTTGTGGCCTTTCTACTGGAGAGTACTTTAGAGCACAATTATCTCGTAATGCTACAATACCCATTACAAGTTGCTCTTGTCTCCTATCAAGCCGTTATTTGCTTCGTCACGCAATACCGCTAAGCGTTGCGTGACCGCCTAAACAGCGAGACCACCTATGCCACACAGGTCATCTCTGGTTACTGCAAATACCCCGGTTAAGAACCTTGAGTCAACAGAATCCGAAAAGTTAATAGCGGGTTGCGAGTAGAAGTGTTACTGAAGTGTTTTTAAAACATATTTACTCAGGGCCTTGGTACCAATCCGAACGAAGTTCGGCAAACTGGACGAACTTAATCATGGCGGCGAGACTGCAAAGCTGGCCTTAAAGAGAAAGATGAAAAGAATTAAGAATTGACGCGCAACATGGGAAGCGTAATCTTACCAAAAAAGGAAAGCTGTGAGAAAAAAACGTAAGAAAATAGTCATGTCTAAATCTTAAAGTCATCAAAGACGTAGCTTAGTGTCCTTTAAAACATATCATGTGCGCAAAAAACAATAGAGTTCTTTTAAAAATTCTAACAGTAATTTGTATAATTTGCCACATCTTTACAATCAGCAATATTTTTCTCTATAGCATTTTGCAAAGAAACCTTGAGACAATGTCTGGTGAGACACAGGATCTCTCAAGAAACCCCTCCTTAGGTCACTTCCTGTTAGTCAGGACAAGTGGTTTCATCTCATCATCTAGGAACTAGCGAACACAATTTCAGAATCAGCGTTGTCCGCTTTTTATGATATCAAAGAAAATACTAAAGTCGGGAGGTGTCATGGCAGACCAGTATTACTTAGGGACATTTATTTTGGTGGGGCGGGGGGGGGGGGGGGGGGGGGGGGGGGATTTTTGTTGGGCAAAAAGGGGGGAAACTTTTTTTTGGGGCAAATTTTTTTTTTGTTTTTCATTTTTTTTGCCTCAACACCATTTTTCTTCCTTTTAAAAAAAGAAGCAACAACCAACACATTTCTTTTTGGGGGGGGGGGGGGGGGGGGGGGAGTGGGGAGCGGGTATTTTGATTGGCCAAAAGTGGAGTATACTTTTCTTTGTGCCAATTTTACGTTCAGTTATGCATCTTTACTGCTCCAACACCATTTCATTGCTTGTTAAACAAGGAAGCACACAACAAGCCATTGCTTTTGATTAAGCCCCATTAAGGTCACAGCTGAGGCCAGTGGGTTGTGTTCCCACAAAGACGTCACGTGCGGTGGAGACTTCATAATTCTAAGAAATATGATCATGGAACCAGGAAAGATACATTCTCTATATCACATGGGTCATTTATTTGAAGCCACTATTCTGTTACTCTGAGATGCCCATAATTCAAGCTAAACAAGAAACCGCCTGCGTGACCGGCAAATTAATCGATACATTTGGTTTTGTTGTCAGCTAACGCAATGACAGGCACGAAAAAACTGTCTGACAAATACATGTACAAATGAACTCTAAATGATGGATCACCGTCTCGATGCTGAAGTTATAACGGCCCGAAACGAACCATAGCATTCATAAAACAAAAATCAATTTGTCCAACTTTCACCTGAACTTATTGTGAGACTCTTGTTACTTATGTAGAGTAATACTTTTTATGTTCCATTTTGAACCCAGATTCTATCGGCTGGATCACATCAAAAAGTCTCCCAGCAAGCATCTCAAAACAGATGTCCGTACTGATTTTAATACGAATATCTGCTAAAACGTTCAGTTGGTCTACTACTAGGTGAGAGCTAAAACTTGGAGTAGTTACAGTTATATAATACTGACAGTTAGACTTGTCTTCTCGATCTCCGCAAAATTAAACACGAGAATACCCTAATATAATTTTACCCACCAGTCACTCAGTTTCGACGAAAATGATATTTGCTTGTGGAATTACGATTCTGCCCTTTTTGATGCCATAATAGAGTTGATTTCCCTCGAGTCTATAATCCGTGCAAACTCACGTCCTCATCGAGGAAGACTTGCCACAACGATCGAGCCTAACCTTCGTAGGTCTCAATAGGTCACAGTAAAATATGGGCTATGTGATGTGGAATTTTAATAGCGCTGACAGCTCCCTTCCAGGTCAAGTGGATGAACTGGCACGCCTTACCCAGAAAAAATATAAACTGTATCCGAATGCTTTATGTTTTTCCTTTTTTAGTAAGAAATATATAATAAAAGATTCTGAACTGTGCGTTCTTTCTAGCCAAGGGCTGTCGAGTGAGATCAGGAGGGTGGGGTAGAAGGCGAGAAAAAGCGGCGGTTATACACGACTCACACTTAGCAGTGTATTTAGAACATAATTAAAAAGAAATGAAGCAAGAAAAGAACCGTAAACAACTGTACACTTCCGCAATCGGCTTAAAGTGAAGCATGACAGCTTTCCTTTTTTATTTTGCCATTCTTTAATTCATTGAACAGCTATGGGTTCGAAAACGAAAGGAGTTGTTGTAGGGCTCTGGGTGCATCTTACCGGAAAGTTAGATCTCTAGGCCAAACAGTTATAAAAAAAAGACTAATTAGCGTTCACAGGCGATAATGGATACTTCCTACAAAAACATTCTACGGAAAGGGCGCAAAATAGAAGACGTGTGGTGTTGCAGGCAGGCGACAACGTGCATTGCTTTTTTAGAACAATATTTCGGCTGTGTGAAAAAAAAAAATCGGTCTCGCTCCCCGATTTTTTCTGAGGGGAGGGGGGCGTCTGCACAGGCTAGTGTTCGAAATATGATTGGCACAATCAGGGGCAGACCTGGCCTGCGTAGCTGGCGGTATTGTCTCGGTGCGCGATTAAAGTTTTGGCGGCAGAGCCGTGATCCAAAAAAGGGAGTGGGGACGAAGAGTTTCTATTTCTCGCGGCTTACGCTCAACACTCAACACTTCTTTTTCCTTCGTTTCGGATTGTGTTTTTTGTGGTCATGACGTCTTTTGCAGCTCCGAAACGAAGAAACAAGAAGTTTCAAGTGATTTAACAAATTTAGATTGAGCGCATTGACGTCTCACACTCGTCACTAGGCTGCTAAGAGTTCTCCAAGATGGCGGCCACCAGATCTGGAATTTCATGCTACTTTAGACGAGAATTTCATAGGGTTGGAAAGCTCTTTGGAAGCTGAAATTTCGGTGATTAACCTATCTTTGTATAATCCTTTTGTCGACTAAAAAAAAAAATCTTGTTATTTTGGAATGAATTTTCTTTCTTATATGGTGGGTACAGTACAGTTAAACTATGATGAACATTCTGAATTTGACTTTGAGATAGCAAATTTACATATATACTGATAGATAACAATGCACATGTACACGTACAGTTTTCTTAAGTTTACCATGATACACTTGTGATTACATACTACATATTTGAGGACTAAACCCAAGTTTATTCATTCTTCTGTTGATCAAGACCTGTGTCTTCTTCATAAAAAAATATGAACCCAAATAACTATCCAGAATCGCCAATAACTATCCAAAAATACAAGAATCTATTTTGCCAGACTTAAAATATGTAGGTTCTTACACTCGCGTTTTTTACTGTATTCAGTCAGTTAAACTTTCGATTATATATTTGCCACAAAAAAACCGGGGAAAAAAGCGCAAAACTGAAAAAAAGAGGCAAAGAAGGCATTGCTGAAATAGTGCAAACTCTCCTAGTGACTCTGTTCAAAACAAAAGCTGTTGTTTTTCCCCGGCGTTGCCTCGATTACGCAAACACACGAAGGCGAAAATTTAGTCAACCTTGTGTCGCCTACGTTAAGACGGTTTGGAAAACTGTACAGCCGTTCTATGAAAGAGGCGTTGCGTGACGACACAGAACGGCTCTGTAGCAACGCCCCTGTATGTTTCAGAATAACCTCGAGAGATTTTAACAGTCATTTGATGGGGCTTGGGTAGTGACATTTGACTTGAACGACACCGACGAATGCTTCGAGTGAAAGCCAGTCTTTACAATTTAATCATTTTGGCGTTGTGGTCGACTCGCACATATTTCTCAGTATCGGCGCAGAATTTTGATGGTATCAACGCTGTGAATTTTGTTTTTTGTGATGTTTAGAATTCGAAACTTCGAATGCAGTAGGCTAGCCGTCGCGTTGACCACTATAATGTTAGGTGTGCAGAATTGGTGTCTCTTTGAAACACCTAAAAGTGTGGTCAAGATAGCGGAGTCCAAATCACAGTTAAGAACGAACAAAATCATTTTGAGTTCGTAACCACCTGTTATGCAGGTATTTTTCTTCTCTTCTCTGACATGCTAGTGACATGGGTAATGGCATCTCGATTAGTCTTTGTAGAATAGAACGTTTTCTTCTGATGCGTGCATGTGAATCTCAAGAAATGTGAAGAACGAACTGAACATTCACTCAAATGAATATTCCTTCCAGAATATGTATATTTCAGTGTGACATCGACATGCTTGCTTAACTTGGGAGTAATTACTTGTGCTTTGGTTTACTTGTTTGACGTCATTATAAGTAATCATGCTAGGAGGTGATTGCTACTGATTTTTAAATTTACTCGGGGTACTCAACAAAGCTTTGCACTGGGAGGCTCCTCTACGAGGTCCAACCCCTTATTTTTGACAGAAAAGGTACCCCTTTCGTACACCTTCTATTGACAAATGACACCTCTATCACATACATAGTACCTAGTTCAGAGGGTTTGAATCCCATTTATCTGCTGTAAATGCACTGTCTTTAAAACTCCGTGATCTGAATAAAATTAATAATAAAACCAAGCCCCGGTTAACGCTATCGACGGGATAAATCACTGTGATCCCGGTGGATAATAGGTATTAGGGAAGCCATATTTTGTTATCCAGTGGATTGCGCGTTATCCATGTTTTGAACAACTGGGGCCAGAACGTTTTCTCAAATTTTTCACAGCCATGAAATACATCGTAGCCGGCCCTTTTGTATCCTCCAACGCAGACGTTCTTAGGGGTTCGTCACGCGTTCCTGCCCTGACGAACCCCAAAGAAAGTCTGCGGGGGAGGCTAGCCCTTTTGGGCCTGGACAGACCAAAATAAAACATTTCCCTACCCTTTATAATTTACTGTACAACTAGTGAAATCCCTACCCTTTCATATACCAGAAGCCTAAAACAGGTCCCCCTTTCGGGCATCTTAAAGGCTATTTTAGGGAGTACCCCCGGGTTTACAGCAGTTTTTTAAAATCTGTTTAGACACCATTTGACAGTGTAAGATGTTGTTTGATCAACCATGACCAACATGTTAACCCCGTTTTAAAGAGTACCTTGGCATTGTTTTATAACAATAGCCTAATGCTGAGCCTAAAATACAAGCAAGGCGCATACTTAAAAACAAGCAACATATATATACGCAATAACAAGCTGTTTTTGGGACAACAATAACTGAGTAACTCTGGTTCCGGGAGGGGTACTCCATACTCCAGTCTCTAATCTATATAGATATGTGTGGAGGCCAAATTCCTCAATCCTTCAAATCCCTCTAATCCTGAAATTAAAAAAAAAAATGATAACGGAACCGTTTGGTGTTCTCTGGAACTGTTTGGTACAACTGCAAGGGTGAGAAGGAATTCCAGAAATATTCGTACCAAAAGTTATCAGACGAGTTAGAAGAATATGCGGCAAGTTTTCCTATGATGACAGCACAAGAGTTAGTAAAATGGGCTCGTCATTGTCATCCAAACGTGTCAATCCATGCATATGATTCAACGTGGCGCAAATTTATGAAAAACATTGCGAGTAAAAATAATAGAAATGTGTGTCTCGTATTCTTTATTAAAGACCACCATCTATACCCTATTCAACATAACCACCTCAAACATATTGCCACACAAGCTAATCAAGGTGGTGCAGACAATTTATGGAAATATATGACAGACATGAAATGGTCAAATAAATCGAGTAATTCCATCATGTATCAAGATCTGGTTGACGATGAGGATGACGAGATTGTTGCCAAACCAAAAGACAAACCAACACTATCGACAATCGAGAATCATGTAATCATGTTACCACTGGACACAAAAATAGAACCTATTATTGAAACATATATGATCAGGACTAATTACTTTGTCGAATATCTCTATTACGATAATAATGGCAGATTAGATGGCTTTATGGATCACAAGAATAACATGTATGTCCTTAACAACGAATATAAAAACCGTAAATCAATCTGTGAACGGTTATACAAAATATACATATCACGTCATTAGCAACATCATTCTTCAAACACATGAGAGGCTATCTACCAGAATCTCAATATGACACCAAAACAAGGGAAGTACTTGATGATTTCTATCCTCAAGCACTACAATGGTGTTCAACAGAACCGGCACCTGATAATCTGGTATCATTAGATATCTCAAAATGTTATCCTTCTATCTTGATGGATAATTAATCACCAATTCCATTATACACAATTCACGATATTATCAAGCCCCTTAACGGAGTATTTGATAGCAAAGATATGACAGGCGAATATCACATCGATGAATATGCAATTGAAAAGCGACTAGGAAAAGGTATCAAAATTGAAGCCGGGTTTATAGCGAACCATTGATACGCGCATTAATCACAAAGCTCAAGATGCCCACATCTAATGTCAAATGGTATTTGCAAGGTCTGGGACTGGGTAATAATTATTCCATCGTTCGTCTCTTGAGAACACTGGTCCAAGTCTGAAATAGGGTTAAGGGCCGGTATAGCTACAATAGTATAGCAGAGTTTCACGCTCTAAGAAGTCATTCAGTTCGTCTCTGTATGTTGTTTGCGCTCATCCTTGCGACCAACATTTAAACCGAAAGGGAAAAAACTTTATTGTTTTTGCCAAGTATCTGACCCTTGAAGGACAAAGAAACCACTTTGCATTCCTTGGGGATAAAGAGATATGCACGTACGACCGCAGACAATTATAACGCAGGTCGTGACAGAACAGAACAATTAATTTTGGCAATGGTTAAAGAACTTACATCTGAGCACAGGAATCCTTGTCCAGTTCAGTTTTATTCAGATATCAATACAGGTACGAACATTTTGCAAGTTTATAAAAGTTTTTCCCATTTAATGTTGTGTTTCTTTTACAAGTATGCCCGCATTTTACTCAAAGTACACAGTCAGGTGTATTTTACTATATTATATTCTGCTGGGTCTAAGTTTCAAACGTTGTTGCTCGTCATATTTCAGTTCTTTGCCGCCTGAATATGAACTAAGATGCTGTATCACTTACCCTGAGCGATAAACTCAGCTCAGAAGTCTGAGGGACGAAACACAAAATCGTTTTTCGGCTATAAGCAAAAACAAAGACTGACATGACACAGATGAGTGGGAATTAATACTCGCTGACGGTTCAAGATGGCCGGCCCACTAAAAAAATAACATTTCGGTGAATTTTCGGTTTTTCTACCAATCGAAATCAACTCCGATCAACTCTGTGTTTGGGGAGAATACGGTTAGATTTTATCACGTACACGAAAGGCTACCGGTCTGTTTTCGAACCTGTATAAGTCTGGAAGAATGGCTTAACGAGTTTTATATTTACTATGTGCCGCGCAATGACAGTGATCTTTCAGACAAATTCAGTTAAACTTTGACTAACTCACGTCGAGCAGCTTGCAGCTTTTCACGGTTTTTTTTTAATTTGTTAGTTTTTGAATTCCCTGTAATACATTTATTCGCCTTTGATGTTTTTTGGACTCTGCATTTGAGGAGATACGACTTTATGCACGAGTTCATTTCGAACTGACTTAAATGACATAAACCTACAGGATCAGCGTAGCATGATAAAATCCCGACAGTACATTAAGCGTCATTAAAACCAACCTATCAACCTTTCTTGCACCAAAGTCGATTCTTATAGGTTTGAAAGCCATAATCAAGATTAGAGTGCTCAATTTTTAATGACGGCATATTTTGTAAATTGAACAGCCCAGCAAAAGGAACCTCAAAATAAGTGTTTCCTCTTGTCCTTGCGAGAAGAAAAATCACTATGACGAAATTCAATAGAAATGCCCCTGTGGATTAAAAAAAATAATGATATACTCACGACTTAATTGAGTGGGATAAATTTTAATTCAACAGCACGGAAGCAACTACTTCAGGTTTAATTTCAAAGACGTGCAACCTTTCGTGTAGCTAAAACTCGCCACCAGGTGGCTCTCGGTATGGATGGATTTAGCTGAAACCGAGAACGACCTGGAGACGAGATTCATTGACTGAAGTGTACGAGGGACAAAGATAACCTACAACAGCCTGAAGAAACAGTTGACATTTTGCGACGCCACCACTGGTTTTTCCACGAAGTGATGTCTGAGGAACGAGCGCAGAAATTCCATAATCTCACCGTATCTGGGTTGTGCTTCTGATTGGTTTAGCCTGCGAGCAAGCTCTTCGGGGTGTTCTGGCGGCGGGGCGCCCCGGAGAGCTTGCTCGCAGGCTAGATTGGTCCTGCCGCGAGGGAAACTTGCTTCAACCACTCAAAAGCACTACCCAGATCTGGGTAACAACACATCATCAGTATGGAATCTTTGCGCTCGTTCCTTACTTGCACGTCATTTCGCGAGAAACTAGTGGTGGCTACGCAAAATGTCGGCTGTTTATCGGTTCTCTTGACAGAACCCGGAAGGTCAGGTAGATCAATTTAAACAATAGAGAGAACTGAACTATTCTCTTGATTCAAAATATGAACTTTAAATACAGTTAGCAAAATGTAACGCTGATGTTTTACGTTTTTTTTTTTGCCAATATTCAGGTTCGTTTAGAGCTTTCGTATTGGTTGTTCAGTTAAGCAATTTCTTTTATAAAGCAGCGTGTTTAACCGAATACTTCACTTCCCATTCAGAATTTGATGTAATTTATTATGTTTCCAGATCGCTGTGGTCTGAAAAGTGAAACATGTTTTACAGCAAGAGAACATGTTCCGGGACCCTCGACAAGATGATATTTCTAACAATTTACTGCAGTGCTTTACATTGAATGACTGCAGAAGTCACAAGTTACTTGGTGTGTAACAAAGAAAATGGCGTTTGTAAGAGATCTATGTGAAGATGTGCAAGCACCATTTGCCGTCTCGGTGATGACATCAGTAGTTTCCATGGTGCTGTGCCTAGTAACAGTCCCTGGTAACATACTCATTTGCATCGCTATTCTCAAGGACCCTTATCATGAATTATCTCATTCTTTCAACTTCTTCATTCTCCAACTCGCTCTGAGTGACGCTATTGTGGGAATTATAACAGAACCTGCATTCGTCATTTGGCATGTTTTTGAGGCTCTTGACTATGAAAATGTCATGAACACAGTATGGGTAGTTCATCTTTCGTATTTCATCTCATGCACAGCGTCACTTCTGAGTCTTTCGGCCCTAACCTTGGACAGGTATCTTACGGTCGTGTCCATCAGAAGGAAGCTTTCTTGCCGTTCTGTGGCTTATATATCAGCCCTAATTTGGATATCATCTTTTTCACTGCCATGCATCTACTTCGTCACTGGATTTTACCTATCGGCGTTTATTTTTGCCAACACTGCCGTCATTGTGACGTTTGTTATTGTGACGTTCTCATATAGCCGCATGTATCATAAACTGAGAGTTCAAATCTCCAGATGGCGTTCATTTAGGCAGGCTCATTTTGCTTCAAAAGTGATCAGAATGGAAAAGAAACTAACAAAAGCCTTCCACTTAATCATTTCATTTTTCGTACTGTGTTTAATACCATCATGTGTAATGATTTACCTTTTAAATTTCTGCGGCAAAGAATGTGACTGCAACTACGTTCACTGGCTACGGGATCTTCAGTTTCTTTTAACTTTGGTCAACTGCGCTGTGAACCAGTTCTTGTACGCTTGGAGAATGCCCTCCTTTCGAAGAGCGATTGCTGCCATCTGTTCTAAATCAGCAGCTGTACATGAGCGCCGCGGGCGTGAAATGCAGTCAGTTGCTTATAGAGTAACGATTAGCGCCAATGGTCTCACTACAACAGAAAAGCAGGCATACGTAACCAACTCAAGACTTGACAATCTAGACGTTTTAAGTAGGACAAAAGACCAACAGCTAGAAACTAACCTCTACGTAACGTGTGTATAGGGTCGTCAGTGATATTTAGGAAGAATTCTAGAGAGCTTACCATTTAAAACATTTTAAATCATGTCATGAGGCAACTCATGGGATAATACGTCGATTTCATTTCATTTTTCCATCAATAACCTACAATTTGGGATATCGTCACCATTTCAGCCATTAATCTTCGTCATAATTACTATGCTTGTTGCAAAAGTGAACTGAAGAGCAACAAGAGAGACAACGAGCACTGACCCAACAGGCTCAGCTGGTTTTATTATAAAACTTATGGTACACATGATACCAAAACGACACTTCGCTCTCCCATAAGTCATTCCGGTTTTCATTCCGAATGAGATTCTCCTTCTCGTACGAAATTTCATTCTGGTATCATGTAGACTGAAAACTAGCTTTGTTCTAGATTGAAAATCGTAAATCGTGTAGTCTGGAGCGAGTGGCGTATGCGTATATCTGATCTGGCGCGAAAACCACTTATAATAAGAACACCTCGCGAGCGAACAAGAAGATCTGGAAGGTGCTCTGATACTTCTAGTCACCTTTTAGACAGCAATTTGGAACAAAGAAAGATTTGGACTGTAAAACCCGCGTGAAAAAACCTACGGACGGTGGCTTAAGAACCTGCTGACTGTAATTTGCCATTTTAATACCCAAAACTATAATAAACTGTTTAGCCAAGGAAGATCAAGGAAAGTGGTTTTATGCCTGTTTCGGTTATATCACAATGTAAACAAGTATAAGGACTTCTTGCCAGCATGGGGCATAGATTGTGGACAATTTGCCAAGAATTAACCGTGGAAAACTAAGGACTTCGTAATGGACAAAACACGGACACCTCCCTATCAATAACAATAATAATAATAATTAAAAATCTATAACGCGCCTTTGCCTTTTCCTGCGGAGAGTCCACATGGCCCTGAAGATTTTTAACTTCATACAATTCCATACTCCCTACGTCTATGATACAGACCCGTCTGTAATTAAGACACGACCCTATTACCGTCAGTTCTCGTTCTTAAAGATTTCGAACTTTATCCTGATATTCCTTGCCTCTATAATACGGACACCTTTGTAAAGCGTAGATTTGGCTCTGTCCCTTTGCTATAAGGAGGTTTGACTTTGACCCTTAAACCCCGTGCAAATGGACGCAACATTGTTAACTAACAACTCCAACTCCCACCCAAGCATTGTTGGTAGTTAATGCTTTCGTCTGCACGTAGCTAAAAGTTTGACTGGTTTCAAACTTTGCGCAACAACTCCCAACAACACGCAACAACATGCAACAAGGTGTGCAAACGGACGCGACATGTAACACCCAACAATGACAACAATGTTGAGAGTTGTTGACCAACAACGTTGTGTGCGTTCAGTGCACGTAGCCTTAGCGAGGCGTCGTGGCCGAGAGGTTAGAGCGCTGAACAACTTACAACTCAGAGGCCTCCAGTTCTAGTCCCGCTCTGAACGCTAGCTGGAACATTGTTAGTCTCGATTTCAAATCCTCCATTAAACGATATTAACGTTATTGATGATTTAAAATATAAGAACGAGAAACGGCTTGGAGATTTTATCCGAGCTAATATCATGGTGATGATTTGAGAGCCACTTGAAAAGACAAAAGGACATTGTTGTCGCACTACTTTTCGAACGAATTGTCTTTAGTCGACTCGTCGAAAAGTAGCATATAATAGGCATATAACAGGTATACGGATATTTCCTGTTCTAGAAGTATTTTGCCGCAGGGGTCTGCGACGGAGACAATATCGCGTAACGGCAGGTACTGAGCTGACGACGTTTGATTCGAAGTATTTCAGTTCGGTTCGGTCCACTAAACTGTGAAGTCAAATGTTGAGTGATCTTGCTCCGCGTGCGTGCAGTGCTGCCACCAGACAAAAACAACAACAAAGTGTTTGCTTTTTCACGTCAACCACAGTGTTGCATAATAGTACCATAAATAAGAACTTACTAATTTTCCGCAGAAAAGAGCATTCGTGGTTTTAATTTTCTCCTCGAAAAGGCTTCAACAATAAAATTTACTAAACATTTTACAAACGCATAAATTATGACCCGATGCTTTTGGCCCCATAAGTACTTCAGTAAATTATTTGAACGACATTTTGTTGCTCTTTCCTAACAGCGATATGCTCCTAAATTTAGACAAAATGTACTACATCGCATTCGTTACCACTGGCAAGAGTTGAGAGCGGCAAAGAGTATCGCCTAAATACGATATGACTATAAACAGTTACTTAACAATTTTAGCTCCATGAACTCTCTTTAACGGAGGCCCGGGGGGGGGGGACTCCCATACATTACCTATACGGGTATGTGCCGCCCAACGGGGTCGTAATTTTGAAGCTCCTGGTTTAGAACGGGGTATCCGTTTCAGAGGCGTTTTCTAGAACGGGGTATAATATTTCGAACGTACGAAAGCTCCAGTTTTGTAAGCAGCCATTTCAAATTATTCAAGGACAGATTGCTTTTAAAAATACGGTTCAATCCGTTAACAAGCAAACTGTTATACTCTTGTTGCACCCTAGAAAGGAGTATAAAAAATTGGCTAGAAATCATTTGTAGTTTTGGAATTCATTGCATTGCAGTGTCTATAAATCTGTTTGAAATAAGATATTCCGATCGTCCAGTTCAAGTGGTCCAAAAATCACGGCACAAGAGGTTTTTAACAAAACTTTTGCGTATTCTTATTCGGGAATACATTCAATCGGGGAGCCTGCGGTGGTCAGGCAACGGCCTTGTCACCACAACAAGGTACCAGTCCAAGGTAAAGATTAATTAAGTGGATAACAGTTCATAAAATTTAACGCCGAGGATAGCGATTTATACTCAAACTGATAAACAACGACAAATCAGACTGGTCACCGTCAGTACATACGTGCTCAGCCTATGTCCAGATTTGAAGGCAAACCCCTGTTTTTTGTAAATGACATTCTTAAAAATATAAAGAGCATATAAAATTCATATATATTCCTCTCAGTACTTCATCAGCTATTTAACCTCCTCCTTTCTGCTAACACTAAACTGTTACAACAAGGCACGTGACGTAAGGCTTCACTAACACTTCCAAGGACAGTTTTCTTGCCTAATTTCTTGTCCCTAGGTATTTTGTGCCAATTGCCGTCAAATACCTAGCTAAACCTGTGAGTAAAAAGGAACAAGTCTGGTTTGGTGATAATGTGTAGGATTACATGGATGGAAGTGAACAACATTCATTAAACCTTTAAATTAGCCAAACGATAAATTGGCCAAAACATGGATGGCAGACCGAAAAAATATCCCACTAGAATATCTGCGCTGGTTTTTTTTTTTATTTCTTTCATTTCTTGTGGATTCTTAGTTTGAATGTCACATGAAAACCTTTGCTTTCTTTAAGATGACAGGATTCTTGTTGAGTACACTGAGAAATCAAGATTTCAACGGTTATGTGAACTTATTTCATCGCCGGGCTATTCAAACTCTTCTTTTCTGTTAACAGTTGTTTCAATGATTCACATGGCTTGTCGCTTTAGATCTTACGAAATTATTTCTGGTTAAGAACAAAATTTCCCCGAGACTAGTGTCCCGACTTGGTAAAATGATCTTAAATTACAGGGGTGGAATGGATGACAAATAATGAAAAATGACTTCCGTGATCGAGAAAGTGAAAATTGCTTTTCTGACTTTTCTGGTAAAATTGAGTTTGATGGCCATGCTTTTTGTGTGTATTCTTACTGTATCCAAGATTTAGAGACAGTAAGGGTTAAGGGAGGTTTTTGCACATCCCCACTAAACCCGGTCTCACAGACAGCCTAAACATTTACAGTTGAAATGAAATTAGATGAAAAAACTAGAAATTGTTTAGCAACTGGCTGAGAGTGGGTTTCTAATCCTATTTCATCCGTGTTAAAACAACAACAACCCAACAACTTTTATCTTGAAAAAATGGAAATTGTCAAGTGAAAGCTTTATTGAATCCTATTCTCCCATTTGCAACTCTCCACGTGCCTTTGACTTTCATTTTGGGGCTTTGACATAATCGCCTACAATAACCAGAATTTGTACAACGCATGTCCCCTAAGGCTATTTTCTAATAACGGCCCTTTTGTAGTCTAGTTTTTTTCTGTCAGTATCTGATCCTTAAGATATCAACGAAATGAAATGAATGAAATGCAAACAACGGATAGAATGAAAATGAAATAACAAACTATATCAACCCCTAGATTGCAAGAATTGTGCTCATATTTGTTTAACTATTTTTTTTAAGCGTCAGAAAAAATAATGATCATTTTCTGATAAGGAGTTTTTACCTTAAAAAGGTTTCCTTTAACCTTAAGTACAAACATTCTCTTGAGGAAGACCCACTCATGCATCAGTCGTTTAAAGTTAATTAATTCGATCAAGTCGAAGAGTGATTTAATAAGCAAACTGATACGACTCAATTTCACGTGAAGGACAAATGGGTCTTTTACTTCACTGATCCAAACTGTCGTGTTATTTAAGATAAATTTTACCTAACCGTAGAAAAGAGTACACTGTATTTTAGGCCAAAAACAAAGTATTACGTTGAACACAAATCTTTTCTATAGACTTCAAAAACCACGAGAGTAAAGGTTGTGAGTCTATGAGTCCATGGGTCCATGAGATTAAGTGTCGGTTTTAATAGCATTCATACTAGTAGTATTTTGTTCATTGTATATTTTATTAGCCTCCAACGAAGGTTTGTGCTTCAAACCAAACTATCGGGCACAAAAAATAAAAAAAAATATTTTTTACTCTTCGCTTTGATTATTGGTTTGCCGCTGCCATGTCAAGTCTTTTGACTTTAGAAAGCAATCAGGGAAAGTACATCCGAGACACATTTCAAGTATTCCATTTGTTTCTCTTTATTTTATTTCTTTTGATTATCATTTACACAACACACCCTGGCTATAAGAAAGCTATTAGCTGAAAGAGATAACTAAGACTTTTTCAACGCCTTATCAATATAGCATCAACACAAAGTCAATATATGGGCATTTCGTCACATTGTAATCCACCTTTTCTGTAGAAAAGTCGCGGATAATATCAAACCTCCATCAACGGTTCACAAGATCGATGTTCACAAATTTTCAAGCCTCTTGTGTGCATGTTCATGATACTAAGAACTTTACGCACCCCTCAATTATTAAGTCTGCAACAAAACGTCCTTCAGAGTGGAATGATATTAAATCGTTGAGAGACCTTGCTTTTTAACTAGAACCGTATGTCCGCTCAATCCAGCCATAAAATACCCACGTTTAAGGTATACTCTCCCTATTTTAATAAATGTTGTACTTTCCACTGTAAAGATCAGAACAATAAAGAGAATTTACAAACAAACAGGTCTCTATCTTCCAAAGATTACGCTAGTAAATGTCATATGATCCAAAAAATTCAGTTTTGGATGAAACCCAAATGTGTGACTGATCAAATCAAAGGAATTGCAAAATGAAATGCGGAATATTTTTTGTGAATAAGAGCATTGTTGAAAGTTAAAATTGGGTTGAGTCAGTATGCCTCGGCTAAATACATGTTAAATTCTTCACGATCGAGATCATCGTATAAAAGTTCTGTAAAGTTTCCAAACATATTCCCTGAACTTCCTCTCATCCCTTCAGTAGATTCTTCCTCATCGTCTAGATTTTCTATAGTTTGCGGTTGAGCAAATCTACAGGAACTCCTTCTAGTTCTGCTGACCATCTTGTGGATATGTCGTTCGTCGGTCAAATTAGTTCCATCATTTCCTGGGGGATGCACACCTTTGACAACCGACGAAGGAGGTCCTTTAGGGTAATAATCGGCTTCATATGAGTTCACTTGTCCATACTGATAAGCACACGGTGGAAATAGTGCACCTTTCGTTAAATTTTCTGAGTACAAATCCTGCTCCGGGCCTTCGCCTGGTCCATTTTCATAAGAAAAATGAATGCGCCTGTCGGGTGGAAAGTATGGTCCACTTTTGAACCGTGAATGATTAGCCAAAGCTGGTCCAATAAAATTAGGTTTGTTGCGCTCCTTTTCCAAACTTGTTGGTGGGAAAGCGTGATTGTCGCCATGATTGCTAAATGTTTCTCTAAAGGTATTAACGTTCCTGTTCACATTTCCTGCAGAATAGTATTGTCCACCACGATCGATATACTGCGATGAGGAAATTTGTCTGTCCTTAGGGCTATTCCAATCCGGTGATGAGGGAAGTCCAAAGACCTGGCTACTCATCACAACATTTGAAATGCTGCTGATAAAGGTTGGGTTGATGTACGTCGAGTTTGTTCTCTGAGCTGGCCGTCTGTCTTGTGAACGCCTCTTGGGTGTGTAACGGTAGTTTGGATGTTCCTTCATGTGGCGAATGCGAAGTCTTTCTGCCTTCTCCACGAATGGACGCTTCTCCTTTGTCGTCAACTCATTCCATGCCTTACCTAAAAGCTTGCTGATTTCTGCATTGTGCAGTTTTGGATTCTCCTCAGCAAACTTGCGTCTCATAATTTTCGCCCATATCATGAATGAATTCATTGGCCTTTTCACATGCGAATCGTCATCGTCTTCTAGATAGCTTTCATGAAGCATCTGCGGCTGAACCGTCCCAGGCCAGTTTGGTGCAAAGTCACCGTGCCACATTTTCGTTCCGCAAAACCGCCACTAAACGTCCAGCTTATCTCGACAGCTGCAACCATATAACTTGTGCTTAATTTAACTAAGATGCTTGTGTAAGAGGAGCATTCGGTATATATAGGAAGGGTACGGTTTCGTGGCGCGGCGTTTGGTAGGGGGTAACTAAGGCACGAGTTTTGAAGACGTCTAACTGCTGGCTTGACATCTAACCATTATCTCCCATAGTGGGAATTTAGCGTTGTTGTTCTAAGGCAATATTCAACGTGTTTTTCAAAATTGGACAATTAAGCGACGGCCACCAGAAAACATGAACAAGGGCTTAGGCTATTGAAAAACAATAATCATAAAGGAGTGGGGATTTTGTTTATTTACAGTTATCGGCTATCTTAATCTGCCATGTGTTTCGCATTGCCGAAATTATTTTTCGCGTGACCTGAGAATAGGAAACCGAGGATTACATCTTTTTCCTGTTTACCCATGTCAACAGGAAATGAAATTTTCAACATTGTCGAGTGGCTCTCTTTCACACGGAATTGCTTAAGCTCTTTAAGTTCGTTTCCCAATTTGACCAAAAATCCTGACCCTTTGAAAAAACGAAGTGGGTGAAAAGTGGGTGTTGTCGGAACTATTGAAAATCTTTCAGCATTCATGGTGGCTCGGCAAGATTCAGGAATTGTCATTTTGCCCGCAATAAAATTTCTTAAATCAGTAAGACAAAAATTGTATAGTTGAAGTAAGACCTCTGGAAATTTAGGTCACACAAATACAGCCAGTTGGAATGCACTGCCTGGCTTGAGGTATGCGGACTACACACGCAATGGCTTCAGTGAAAAAGTATTGAGATAACTTTCCAGTTACTACCAAAAACCAATGTTGTCACTCATATATCTGCCAAACGGTTTAGCGGTGCTAAAAACAAACCTTGTTCTAAGCTCGATTTGTGGACAACAGTAGTGGAATAGATGTGGCCTCTTGATATCATATCGACAGATTTCGATATCCCAGTTGACATATGACCTCATCTAGCTGAGACGATCTCTTTTCTTTTTCACCGAATTTGCTTCTTCTTTTTCTCAGTTGAATTTCCATTGCAGATAATTTCGCTGGAGGAACAACACAAGATAAGAAAAGATCAGCATTAACTGCGTTAGAGCTTTCTAGAATGGACACGCTTCACACTTGATCAAGGCGATAGTGGTAAAACATCTGGAACAAAAACAATACCCCATGATAATTAAATCCTTCCCGATCTGTTATCACGAAAGAAAAACCTAAGCTTGGGCTGTTTGTTCAGCACTTCAGGAAAGCCATAATATGACCAATTTATAGGTACAACTTAAAAGAATTATAGAAATTACTGGATTCGTACAAATATACTACGGCCCCGCCAATAAGCCTAACGTCAGTAACATGTTAATCCTTCTTAAAAGCTCTAAGTGGACACTTGACCGGTTCAAAGATAATGGAGGAGTTTTTTTTTCTTGTTGTTAATTACATTGTATCGTGAAAGTGACCCACGTGAAGTGTTTTTAACAACGATCAAAATGTAGTACAAAAACTGTATTGTGACTACTAAATGTCAACAATTATCAATAATGGGCGAACTGGATTAGAGATTAAGAAAAATAGATTACAGCACGTTGAAGCCTGTCAACACTCCACCTTCTGCCAAGTGTACTATTTCTCACTTCTTTTACCAAACACATCCCCTTTGAACGTACAAAAGTGCAAAGGCGTTCATAGAACTTCCTCTCCGCTTCCTCTGTGTAGTCAAGGGGCACCGCCAAGATTGATAATTGGCTTGAGCCATTTGCTTGCAAAACAGGTGTAGAGGTTAGCCGTTCAGTGTAAAAGTGGGTTATTAGCGTTTTGGTTTAAAAATTGGGTAAATGAATATTTTTGCTTAGGGTTATGGAGTTAATTTCCTGCCACCGCTGTTCAGAGGTACTGATGGCCACAGCCAATAATTTACAAAGAGTTCGCAAATTCTGCCTCGGAAATCTCCAGGAATACTTCACAAATTGCAAACAATACCCACTAAACACAGCCTCAAGGAAAAATTATTGTTCCTGACGCTTTTTCATAACTTGAGTGGGGTTGACACGGGCCATTAATGGAGTGAGTGAAATGTTCAAAAGGAAGATTGAGACGGCTCTCCGTGGGTATTTCCTACTCGGATTCTACGGTCTAAAATCGGCAAATAGTACAGTCATCATCGAAGAACGATGCCAGTTATTCGCTTACCACCTGCTAGTCACTGGGGTGACGATAGCTATTGCAAGCCGACAGTCGTACATTAAAGTCGCCAATTCTGTTAGACAGGAATCAGGAACAATTCTTCACGATTTTAATTTGTTCGTGGGAAAGAAAGCCTTACTGTAGTCAGTTGTTGTTGTTGTTGTTTGTTTGTTTTTCTGAAGTACAGAAAAACCAAACAATTAGTTAAACAACAACGGCGTTGGAGACGGAAACACTGTCTCATGTTTTGTTTAACCTTTCTTCGATGCTATATATATTGTCAAGCCACTTCCTACGAACACTATGATCTTTTGATTAATCCCGCATTATCTTTAAAGTATTTTGTAATAACTGCCACGAGAAAAATAATACGGCAATGAATTAACCAACATTTTGCAACTATTTTGGTTACAAAATGGTCGATTTGCCTGTTGTAAACAGCAGGGATGAATAAAGTGGAATTGCGCTTATTTGTACCAAAAATATCTCTTATTTCGTGCATTTAAAGTGAACACACGTATGGATCCAGGGTATTATAACCGATTCCGGCATAGCTTTTGATTGCGATTGTAATTTGTCCGCTGGTCACAGTTTCTGATTTCTTATAGTAAAAGGTTCCAACAGCGCGCCGGCGAGAAGAAAGGGGCGAGGAGAAGTGAGCCTGCACGCGAGCTATCCCTCTAGGCACAGTTATACTCAAATTTTCAGAATAAGCACTTAATTCGAGATGCTTTTAGTATTGTTATTGTATTTACTAGGTTTTTGGGATACAGGAATCTCTGGATAATTCAAGAAGATCGTACTAAAAAGATATTGTTTTTGTTGCGACCTGAGTCAGTTTTTTCCGGATGAACCGTTCTTCTTTCGCTATGTTAAACTATGTGATAAAAATTAATGACAGATTATCTATTAAAAACACCAAAAGAAAACAGGTACAAGAAGAACCGTCCTACACAAGGTACCCTGTAAAAAGGCTGTAAAGTGAGGAATGGTGGAATGGGGCGAAGAGAAGGTGGAGAACAGACAGTAGTATTTCTATAATCCTGCACTGGAGAGGTTTGGCGTAACCTTCAAGAGAGCTGTAGCTGCAATTAATGTATAAAGGTATAACCTAGAGTAAAGGCCAATGAAAACTAATAGGAAACACTAATGTCGCTGATAAATAGTTTATAACATCTTGATGTCTTTGCTGCAAGCCAGAGGTTCTGAAGCTTTTGGCATTACCCAACTACATGTATTAAAAACAAGGAGAAAACATTTTCAAAACTAACGAAATATTTCCAGAATTCGCCATCAGCTACCAACATTACAGTCTCACAGTAACGTTTTCTGAGGCTATCAGAAGCAAATCCAAAGTGGGAACTAGTGTGAGAGCTTTGTCAGTCTAAATACACTCCTGATTATTAGATACTACTTTCAGCAGCTCCAGGTATAAAATCTCCACCAAGACAACCAGGACGAGTGCTTACAATTAGGAACTGTAAATGGTAAACTCGGTCATAGCAATATTTTTCGCCAACCATCCAAGGAAATGACTCTTTCTCACGGCTAATCAGAGTTATTTTAGTACACTGTCCATGATAACTGTTTTAGGTGCCCAGCTTCTTCAATAGCCTGCCGGGATCTGTCTGTGACCAGCGGGCAGCCGTCAAAAATGAGAATTCTTATTCGAGGGCAGCGAGCAAGCAGCGATTCTATACTGACATCAGTTATGTGAACGCAGTGTGAAACTTGAACTTCCTAGGACAGATACAGCCAGACGATTAGAAGCCGCGAGATACCTATACCTACTATTCCCGATGATCTTCACACGATTCGCAAGTGGTACAAATGGGCACTTGATAAAATCTTGAAGAGAATGATGCAGCTTTCTTAATCAAACCAATAACTTACACTGTACGAGTCTAAAGTAAGGCGTTGCCTTCCCAAGGGTACCTTATTGAGGGGGGAGTTGAGAGAAGCTTTTGAATAGAGGCCTAAGCCACAACTAATGAAAAATAAAAGTATGAGAGTCCTTGAAAACAAGTTTGTATGATCATTAAATGAAATAATCATCCACAGTTTCAATACTGAACATATTCTTGCAAAAACTTCTACAAAACAGAGAAAAAACTAGCTTCAAAGCACTTGGTTGTGAATTGATTGCTCTAAGGTATCTTTTTCTTGATACCACTGCTGGCATAGCTCTACCCCCCTTTGCCGTTCAGTTAAATTAATATTAAGTGTATCTTTTGTAATTTAGTACGGAATGCCCACATTATATAAGCCTCATGGTTTCTTTGGGCTTTCTTGCCATATTCTGACGAATTTCTGTAAGTTGTTAATGCGTCATAATAATGTGGCGAAAAGAAAAAACAAAAAATTGAGAGTATGGTTTTCAATCAAGTATTGCTTACTTTAATTGAGCAGTGGCATTTCCCTGTTGCAAGGCTCATTATGCCATCATCAGATACCTGCACAATAACAAAACAAAGAAGATGCTATGTGTCAAAAAAAATTGTACGCAGTGCCCTGTGCACATAAATTGTACAACTAAAAACAGGAGGCCCTCTATTTGACAAATTTTTGGTTGCCCTGGTTGTCAAAAACTAAATTTGGCTAGCACCTACTAGCCAAAAATTAAAATGCCATCATCACAGTCATTGGGCCAAATTCCAAGATTTTTTGGCCAACATGGTGGCTGGTAGCCTGTGAACAGCAGACGCATAAATTCCGGTCATCACCTCTCTCCCTCCGAAATTTGAACATCTATCATCACCTTCATTGGGCTAAATTCCAAGTTTTTGTGGCCAACATGGTAGCTGGATATTGCCCAATATTTGAACATCTTTACCAAAGAAGCTTGCTAACAGAGGAATTATTAGATAGCCAAATGAAAGTTTTTTCGTGCTGGAACAAAGCAGATCTGCAAGCAGGCAAGTACACTGCAAGGAGTCTCTTTTTCTTCAGATTTAGTGAGGGGAGTACACTTGTGCATGAGCTTCAAGCGGCAAAGCTGCGAGATGCAAGAAACAAGGGCGGCAGCAGCCACTCCCTCTCCTGCACCTCTCTCGTGCCTCTCCTGTCTCACAGCTTCAGTCACACATGTGGTCATTTTCATGTCTCACGTGTTTCACTCAATGGACTAAGAAAACAAAGACTGCTCGTAGTCTAGCAGGCAAGTGCAAAACAGAACAAAGGGATTTACTTCACCTTCCAAGCTTGCATAGTCAGGAACATAATACATATTGTCTTGAAGATACTCAAAAATTCAAATTCAACACTATAAAATCAAATGTACAAAGCGATATTTTTTACTGACCTTTGTTTTAGAGATGTTTAGACTTTGTAGAAAGCCACAGTTGAGGGCAATCAGCTGAAGTGAAGCATCTGTTATATTGATGCAGCCACATAAATTAAGATGTTCCAAATGACTGCAATGCTGAGTGAGGGCAGCAACTGCATCATCTGTCACATTAACACAGCGGCGGAGATATACTGTTTGAAGATTATGACAAGAGGAAAATACCTTGATGATGCCTGTGGAATAATAATAAATTAAGGCCATGATAACAAATTAAGAGAGTCGTTGGATGTCATCTTTGAAGCTACAAAGAGGAAGTTGCTTTCATATCAAAGGTTATTAATTTGCCACTTTCACATCTCCCATAATGTACCTTGGTTGCCCCCCAAAATTTTGCATAAACATTTTCTTTAAATTATTTTGTGATGACTGTATAACCCACGAACAATTAAAGGCAAAGGTTTTGCAAAATTATGGGGGAGAGGGGGGCAAACAAGGTATAAGGGAGATGAGCAAATGGAAAAATGGAAGAAAGAGTTCTACAGTGGAATCTGATTGAATGAGGTGCCAAGAGACTAGGGAAATTTGTTAATAGAGCAAAACTGTTTTAAAATTTTTGAGCCAGAGTATCTATGCTTTGGCAATTGGCATTTGGGTAAAAAAATTAATGGTACTCATCACAACAATTTGCTTGAGTGACCACAAAACAATAGATTCCCAGTGCACAATTGCTCAATTGCCAAAACAACCTTTACTTACATGTATTACAATCAGGTGTATAAAGCACTGCAAATTTCTTTGATCCCAACTGCTTAATTTCAACATGTATATCATAAGCAGTTAATCACAGCAAATATGATCTTGCCAGTTTGCTGTAGCAGTAGCTGATATACTGTAACCTTGTTCCCCTACTCTTCTGCATGAAGCAAGAAAGAGAGATTGGATGGGTAGGAGAATACCCTGGGAATGGCACTGTAACTGATAGTGAGGTTAGCACTGATGACTGTCCAGCTGAGTTTTAGCAAACATGGTTTCAACTTCTGAGATTAGATCTACATATGCTCATGTAATGTTTCTAATATATACCCTCAGAGGTGATGTTTTCTCTTGAATTCTTTGTAGCATTTAAGTCCAGTTTCCTCAAATTTTTACAGATGCACAGAGAAGAGAGACCACTGTCTGATACCGAGCACTCACTCAGCTCCAGCTCTCTTAAAGAAGAGTGCAATACCTACATTAGGAAACATAAAAACCTTTCCAAATAAATTGACTTTGTTGGTGAGAATGTGGGACTCAAGAATCTTTCACCCAATAGTTCAACAATCACTGACAGACTACCAACAGTCACCCAAGTTATAATTATCATAATACATCAATCAATTGCAGCAGCAGTACCCATCCCATACTTTTCAATTAGGTAATGTTGTTGCTAGCTTTGACAGAGACAAGAGTAACTTTTCATAGTGCACCTGCCCATGCAATGCATTTTCCTGCACATCTCCAGTTTAGGGAATGAAAAAAGTCAATGCCAATGACGTCTCTGACAGTTTATGGCAAGTATGTCACCAAAGGGTGGCTGACTTTCAGCTCACCTCTCAATGATGAATGGTTGAAAAAGTGCATTTCCTTTTACATAAGAGGTACTGTCAACAGTCAGAAATTTTGCCTGTTGGCCTTTTTCGGCTGTCTGTTGGTCAACTGTCTCGTAGGTGGTGGGGGGAGGGGTGTGGGGGAGTTGGGAATAATATTATTATTTCTATAAACAAAGAGTTTGTCGACAGGCTTGATGGGAAGTTACCATTCTTGATTACTGAAATTTGGGGAGAAAATATCCACACAAATGTGTGGTATAGGTGTTAAATGTTAGGTGTTAAGTACCTAAGTATTATATTTGGTATGTCATACAAAAGAGTCCTCAATATATAATCATGAAGAAATGTAAGTTATGGTTAAAAGCTCATATCTAGCCTACAATCATACCCTCTCTATTTACCTTTATGTCTCTCAAAAAGGAAAGAAAAGTCTTGATCGCAATCCTAAGTTCGGGAGTTAATTTAATAAATTCTGATAAATTTTAGGCTGTATGTTTATTAAACCCAGCGACTTACTTTTGTTATGTTGGAGTCCGTTAGAAGGCCTCGCTTGGACAATAAGTTAACTAACTTCGTTTTTATCTCAATTGGAAGCATGTCCAGTGATGTCTCATGATCTGGCAGTTGACAAGCTACTGCCCTCAAGCAATGGTTCTGCAAACTGCTCACAACAGCAAAAACCGCCATTTTTTAAGTCTGTTTTGGTGGAAAGATTCAATTCGCTTACAAAAACTATCCACTGGCGTTTGGCATCAGCCACTGATTCAATTTGCAGTTGTGGGCTCATAACGTTCGTTCCCATTCTTCCATCATCCTCGACTCTTTGCTGTCACGTTGCACAAGATGTCGTCCCATTTAGTTCGCAATCCAGGTATTCCACTCGATTTAGAATGGGTAAGCAAGACAAGAATCAATCTTCCCGCGGTAAAACGACGCTCAGATACGCTAAAAACCCGACGATCAATTAAAAAGCAGTGGCAAGCGGCTTGGCTTCTCCGTGCAGTGACCTGCATAGACCTCACCACTCTGTCAGGGGATGACACATCTACCAATGTAGCGCGTCTGTGTTTCAAAGCTCAGAATCCTGTTCGACAGGACTTGTTAGAAAGCATGGGGATGGCGGACAAGGGGATAACTACGGGTGCCGTTTGTGTTTACTCGTCCCGTGTTCCAGACGCAGTCAAAACTCTGAAGGATATCAAGTCCAAAGTTCCTGTAGCTTCAGTGGCAGCAGGATTCCCAGCAGGTAGAAATTAGAATTCTTGAAGGGGTGGGCTGGGGGTGTGTGCTGGGGTAATTTCTTAGGCCTGTTTCCTCCTCCAATAGTCCACTTTCAATAGATTAAAATTCTAACATGAATCCGAGGCTTTCTGGTCATTTTTCTAAATTAGGTTTGGTTTTCTTTGTGCTCAAGCCTCTTCTGGGAATTGCGAGACAATGGAGTCGTGAAAAATTTCCAATTTTGTCTCTAAAGCCTGGAAGTCATGTTAGACTTTCAATATACCCAACTATTACAGAGCTGATACAGGACTATAACAGCGAATATTTTATTACGTGCTACCACCCACGGGACACTCACTATTGTTACAGTCTTGGTCTTGTGTGCTAGTGGATAGCCGATTTCAGTCAAGTCCCTCATACAGTCCTCTATGACTGGTGTAAAGTTATAAGTAAATTTTGACCCTGCTTGCCATAGAACCTCCAGTAGCTCAGTGGTTGGAGCATGCAAACTGGAACTTAAAGGGTTGTGAGTTCAATTCTTTTCTGGAGCTCAGAATTTTTTCTGTGCTTTCTGCTATTAGAATTCTCCTTCTTCCAAATCTCTTGACCTAATAAAGTAGTTCAGTGTAATACTGAGAAAGGACAAAATCACTAACAATTCCAAATTTCAGTTCCTCCCCAAAATCAAATAACTCCGTGCTTTCAATATCAGTTACATAATGTGGTTGACCTTGATGAAACAAGGATGATGCACATGCACATATTATGAGACAATTCAAACTGGTGCCAAAAATGCAGACGAATGATGAAAAAACTTTGTGAAAAGGTCACCCCTTAGTAACACAAGAAAACCCAGCAATTACATCGTACCATCGGTTTCCCAAGTTAGGAATTGCATTCCCCAATGTCAAGCACAATTATCAGTGCTATGTGAAAATTATACTATCAATGTAAATCCTGAATTATGTGTAGCCTCAAAGCGTGCATATCAGGCAGCCTTTTATAAAGTTCTGTGACAAGTAATGAGTACATGTACAATATATATTTAGAGGATTTTCTTTTTGTAACAGACATGCCATGGAACTTTTTTGCTCACTTTTGTTTTTGGTTTTTTGTTTTCTTTCTTTTTTGGCCAACAATACCTGCTTGAAAACAAACCTTTTCAAAACCTCTCTGTGTACAGAGTAGCATTATACATGTAAAATAAATTGACTAACAGTATTTAATTACATTTTGATTCTAATGAACTGGTATAAGGGAAATACCAGTACTCAAATGGGCAGGTATCAAAGGTCTTCCAATGAACAGTTCTGTTTAAATTAACCCAATAATTATCCCCTCTATAACACTTGTGACATCATCAGTTTTAAAGGTCAAGGACAACTTTGTCATCTAACTTGTGCAGTGGGACAAGGTCTTTTAAACCAAGCCAGAATGAGCACGATTCAGTCAGGTGGAGACCAGATAAAAAAAAAATGGCCGCAAAGGAGACTATGGAGGGAAAAAAGTGATAAGTGAAAGTCAAGACTGCTAAGTCACTTTTAAACCCAAAAACTACATTACACAAAATTTTGCTTTCTGAACATGCCCAAACTTTGGAAGCTGATATTTTACATCTACAAGAGAAGGCCACAAAGCACTTGACTGACATGTATAAATGGCGTTTTGGACTGGAACAGCTCATTAAAGCCAGGCAGTGACCAGAAGTTACATGTAATTCTCGATTATCTTCAAAGGCGATTATTGATGATCACACCCCACCATAAGAACAAGAGGAGTGGGCGCGCTAGGAATTATTAAAGACTGAGCCATTAATACAAGTTTCATGACTTTCATTTCAATGTGTTAATTATGAATTATTGTGTATAAAAAAAATTATAATCTTAGGTCAGACCCCAATAAAGCAAAGACTGGAGGAAATAGAAATTGCAGTGGCCTCAGGTGCAACAGAAATTGACATAGTAATCAGCAGAGCATTTGTACTGGAGGGAAACTGGAAGGAACTTTATAATGAAGTAAAAGCCATGAGAAAGGCCTGTGGAGATGCTCATCTGAAAACTATTATTGCAACAGGTATGGTGGGTGTATAATGTTTATAAATTACGTTTGTTAAATCCCCTCACTGCACTGTCTTTGTTCTTGCTTGATTAAATAAGTGAAATAATGCCTGAGATGTCTGGCCATGGTGCAAGTGCTACACTTTTAACATACTGGTAATTTTTTTTTTTTTTCAGGTGAACTTGGCTCCCTAACAAATGTATACAAAGCCAGTCTGGTTTGCATGATGGCTGGATCAGATTTCATTAAAACATCAACTGGAAAAGAAGCAGTTAATGCAACTTTTCCTGTTGCATTAGTCATGGTGCGAGCAGTCAGGGATTATTATCAGGTATATTTCACCTTCCTTAATTTCAACTACAACTGTTAAGGGTCTGTATGTGATTCCTTTAATTGTAAAAATTCTTTTATTGACCAAGCTTGTTCAGTTGTCTTGGACAGGGGTGTCATTAAGGCTTTAAGTTGTTTGGTATTATTATCATGCAATTTGTAGGAGACTCTATACTAACCATAGGAAATCCTGGGCAGCTGTAAAGGGTGGGTGGGTGGGGGTGGGGGGGTGGAGTACTCTACACAGTTTTATGCAGGGAGGCTTTATCCTGAGGTCCAACCCCTCAATGCACCATTATTGGCAGTCAAGGTACTCTTCTTAGGCAGTCAGCCTCCCCATATAGGCCATTATAGGGAGTATCCTTAAGGGCGTCTGATCCTCAGTAACAGCCCTGCTTGGATATTGCTCTCTGTAGCTTTTAATGGGACTACACATGCTCTCAGTTCTTAAAAACTTGGTGAGTATCATGACTAACCACCTTGCATCTTGACCTAATGCTTGATAAGTAGAGTTGTAATGCAATTTTGATGTATATTATTTTACTTCAGGCCATAATTAAATTCAGTATAAAAGGTTGATTCTCAATTCCTTTGTCTCCCAACCCTAATTCATGAATAATTAGGGTTAGGCAACAAAGGGAATTGAAAATCAATCTAGCTTAAGAGGTGTTAACCAGAATTATTTAATTTTTACCTGTAACACATACTTTAATATTGTTTCAAGTACCAATAATTCACATGACTTGCATTAATACATGTACTTAGAGTCTGGTATCTGTCTGCTAACCAAAACCCCTTTGATTTGTCTGTTCTTCAACAAGATGTTTTAATGTTTTTGCTTTAAAGATTTTTATTACAGTAGTACATGGTTCACTTACATGTACTAAGTCAGTGAATGTGTTCCTTGTAAATGTGTTCCCTTGAAAGGTTTTTTATAAGTAATGTATAGTATTATTATGTATTTTTAATGAATCTGTCACACGATCACTTCTGGTTACCAGTAATTTGCCTTTCCTTTCAGCAAACAGGTCACAAAGTAGGCTTCAAGCCTGCTGGTGGAATACGTAGTTCTAAAGATGCATTGACGTGGCTTTCTTTGATGAAGGAAGAACTCGGAGATGAGTGGACACATCCTAACTTGTTTAGGATTGGAGCCAGCTCTCTGCTTGGTGACATAGAAAGACAGCTCTTCCACTTTGTAACCGGGAGGTAAGTGAGGAAATAAAAAATATTAATACATTTTAATACCTAGCCTTCTAAGTGAGGTGTGCTCTGTAGGTGGCCTTACTGTACTTAGTCTTGACCAAAGGATCAAGTTTAAGTTCTATGTACTAGCCCAAAAACTTGACGTGACTGTATGAAAGCCTCTGCTGCAATAGGTCCTACACAATACAGTGTGCCAGTGGGTTTACCAGCAGTCATGTGTACGTGGTAATGAAGTGATAATAGCAACTATAGAGGCCTTCCAAGAGGTGGGGGGGGGGGTGGGTATGCAACAGTTGTTATTGATTTCTCCCTCTAGGGACCATTCTTGAACATCACCACAACAGAAAACGTTTCAAAATAAATTTTCACATCTGACAGAAGAACCTACAGAGTAGAGGCTCATTTAGGGTGGCAACATGTGTCCCTGGTCTGAATTTTTAACCCCTTCATTTCACATTATTTAGCCGAGAGCTATGTCTCTATCCATTGTATTCATGCTTGTCTTCATCACTGTTGCAGTTTCAGTCCATCTTGGTGGCAGTTGTTTGTGGCTGTTTCACCCGAGTGTCTTAATGTCACTGTTTAATGTCCTGTCACCTGTTGGAATTTCGTAGTTACTAAAACGTGGAACAAGCTAAAACCACCTAAAACCACCTAAAACCATCTACAACCACCTACAACCACCCCAAAAAATTCAACAACCACCTACAACCATCTACAACCACCTCAAAAACATCTACAACCACTTGCAAACAATCTAAAACCATCTAAAACAAGGTATAAATGTCTGAAATAAGGCGAGACGACAAAAAGTCACATACATGAAATACGAGAATCGAACAAAACATCCACTTCCCCCTAAAATCTTACTCTCCCTGGTCCCTTGTATCATCAACCATTAAGCTTAACACAAAACTTCCACCGCACTGTCCTCTTATGTTGAGAGGGCTGGGATATAAGTTTGATTTTGTTTCCTCTCTCTTCTGAAACTCATCGACAATTTGAGTATAATTTAAGCAACAACTGATGGTTTGTGATTTTTAATTGTTTTAAAATCATGTTTAAAATGTCACATTACCAGTGATTACATATGGTGCGAAATCTGGAATATGTCTGGAAAATTCATTTTTAACAATGATTTAATATACCTACTAGTCTCCGTTTCCTGTGTCGTGACCCAAGGGAGTTTAGCGATGCGTGATGACACAGGTAACGGGTGTGAAAGATACTAGGGTTAATCTAAAGGAGTCACCTGGAATGTACAAACAGGTTTGGTGGATGATAAACAGATACTAAAAGAATTAACTTGTCCTTAGGAATGTAATCCGCCACCTCAGAACAAAACAGCAGTGAAGCGGACTCCGAGAGAGAAAGAAACCCTACCTTGTGCCCCTTGTGCCATTATGTGAACAAATGAAACGTGAACCAAAACGTGTCACTGGTACCCAGGGTAGAAAAGCCAAATCAAGTCAGTCTTTCGACTACGAGTTTGTTATTTTATTTTATTATTTTTTGTGACTTGATAGTTTATTTTGTAAAGTTCTTTAAGTCTTTTAATATACTTAGCATGATCTCGCATTTCATTTCGTGACTTAAGCCAATGGTTGATGAGACAAGGGACCAGGGAGAGTAAGATTTTGGGGGGAAGTGGATGTTTTGTTCGATTCTCGTATTTCATGAATGTGACATGTTGTTGTCTCGCCTTATTTCAGACATTTATACCTTGTTTTAGATGGTATTAGATTGTTTGCGAGTGGTTGTAGGTGTTTTTGAGGTGGTTGTAGATGGCTGTAGGTGGTTGTTGAATTTTTTGAGGTGGTTGTAGGTGGTTGTAGATGGTTTTAGGTGGTTTTAGGTGGTTTTAGGTCGTTCCATGTTTTAGTAACTACGGTTGGAATTTACTGTAACAGGTCCTCAGTGTATGTAGCTTCCCACATGAGGAGCCAATTAATCCAGCACATTAATTATTTTGTAGACGGTTTTATCCCCTTTTATGTAGAAAGCTACTGCCATGACTTACTGGTAGTCAAACCATCCATTGTATTTTATGATTTATAAACTAATTTCTGTCTGGTCATTTAATTTTTCCAGATATGCTGCACAACATGAAATGGCCATGGCTTGATCACAGATCTGACAACAGGTCAATGACAACAACTTACTTGTATCAAAAAATAATGACAAAATTTACCCTGATTTGGGCCCAGGTTTATTCTAGAACAAAAAGCCATTGTGATTGTTTTCCACTGGTTTCCATGCGGGCCTTGAACTGAAGAGAAAAATAATTCATGGGCCAACATTTTTACATCTATCTAGTAATAATTTACGTGTCAAAATAATAACACTACGCAATGAATTTACACTGTAAAAGTCTCAGGACTACTTCTACATACAGTCATCAAAATGCACATCTCTTTGAACATACATGTACATTACATACTGCAGCTTTGAACAATATACACTGTACATGGATGTAAGGTCCAAAGCCAGAGAAAATGTCTATAAAAGTACTTTTAATTCGTTTAATTCAAGTTATCTGTGTCTGTGTTGGGGCTTTTTTGTCTGCCCAGTGGGATGCTGGGGTCAGGGTATTAATTCTGGCAGCTGGTCAATAATAAACAGTGTACTGATAATTATACTGAGAACTTCGCAATGATCATCTTGAACTACTTATCTCAAAACAAAAGTTTCCTTTTGTTGATTTGCCTTTCTTTTATTATTGTCTTCATGTTGTATTGTGGAGGGTTTGGGGTTCTTAAATGCATAACCTGTGCTTGCATGATTCATGGAATTGCTTCAGTAATAACGGGGTATCAAATTTGTGTACTTATGAATGGCCGTTGTTTTGAGGTGACCATTCAATCTTTTGATACAGTAGAGACCTTGGGTAGAGATATTGTGTGACACCAATTATTTTTGAAAGTCAGAACATTCTTATTTTAAAAAAAGAGGTTTATCATAGCATGAGAGTACATGTCAGAGAGTCAAATTTTGTCAACAAAACAGACACAAAAAATTTCAGGACAACAATTATAACAAAAAGAAGTGAGGTAAAGTCTACAACATTTTGTACAACATTTGCTTAAAGTGACAGCTGTGGAGTGGAGAGGTTATTTTGGCAGTGCTAGAACAGCCTGGGTGGCCACTAGAGAGAGAGGTTAAAACAAGGGTATATAGAATGTCTATTGGATCAAAAAATGGTATCAATTGTGGACATGTGCAGACACACATCACCCATTCTTTATTCTTTACATCTGCTTAGAAAGCCGAGATCGTCCAAAAGCTCTACAGAACTTGCTTGATCTCCTGCCTTGTAGTAATGTAATAGGTTATGTGTGTACAAATGAATGTATGGTAAATAAAGGCACTTCTTCTATAAAAGTAAATAGGATATATCTGCATATGGACTAGAGGATTTTTCGGTGGACAGTAGTCCCCTCAAAGATAAAGGAAAATTGGTCAAAATGGAAATTGAAATTGAAATTCTTGGTTGAAAAATATTGTTAAAAATTAACGCTTGGGGTGTCTTACACTTTATGAGGGCCAGAGTGAGAAAGAGTTTAACTTGGTGCTGTTGCCGTTTTGTCTCCTCTGGTGATTTTTATACCATGGTCTTCCCCGACAATGTCATGACTGAATTTACGTCACGCACATTATCTCGAGGTTCTAAAAATGTCACGCTTAATTTAACGCAACACACCTTGTCTTGGTGTTTTACGTGTTAAAAACGAACACCATCTCTACGTGAGTTCTTGTTCTCGCAAGGCGAGTTGCTTTCAAGCTAAAATTCAAGGAAGGGTTGGAAAAAAATTTTGTTATCGAGACATAAACAAAGGAGACCGCCATTGCGCACGCGGTTGTTGTTTTGTTACGTCACATTCATGCCGACAAACACGCGGCCGGCAAAGGCACAATCGTGCATTTTACGGCATGTTACACTTACATTGATATTGGCCACCTTGTGTCGAAAGAAACATGGAGAACAAAATTATTCTTATTATTTTAGCCGATGTCGTCGGATGGGGATATTTTCTATGCTGGACAGTGTCTTTTTTGCCCCAGATCTACGAAAATTGGCGACGAAAATGTGTGGTGGGTTTTTCCTTCGACATGCTTGCGTATTTTCTTCTCAGTTATATTACCTATCTGATTTACAACGTGACTGTATTTTTCGACCCTGGCTTGGTTTTCGACAATTCCGGCGAAGATAACCCCGTTAAAACCACCGATGTGGTGTTCGCCATTGTTGCATTTATTTGTACATCTTACCAAGGAATTCAATGCTTGATGTACGATCGTGGATCACAAAAGATACACTCCAGCACTATCGTGGTTTGTGTTGGCTGCTTGGTCGCCTTGCTTATCCTGGTTGTTTTAAAGTGTTTTGGTATCGGTTCGTGGTTTTTGGTCCTGCAGTATTGCGGATATGTGAAGCTTGTTGTCTCGTTTGGGACGGTGAGTTTGTTTTGTTTTGTTTTTGTTTTTGTTTTCTTTTTTAATTTGAGTAGTCTAATGTCTAATCAGTTTGGGCACAACATTCGCAGAGTTACTCGTGTACTACATAATAACATTGTATCCATTTTCGAACATCTTATTTGTAATAAAATACATTATCTAAGTAGCTGTTAGGGCCTCATGATCGTCAATTTCATGACGTCACGGTGGCCATTTTGTAAACGTGTACCAAATCTTGTGGGAAATGAACTCTTTTCTCATGTAAATTCTTGTTCCAAGAAATTTGCTTGGCTGCTGATCACGTGAGTGACAATTATCTACCAGTACACCTGGCACGCACAGTTTTCCCTCCCAAAGACCGAGTTCAGAGACATTACTTAACACTCTCAACTCCTTTTAATTGTCATAAACAATTTTGCTTGCACATGAAAGGACCCTTCCCCAATTATTAGCTGCCCCTGTCTGTCTCAGGAGGACAATAATTATTATATTATATTATTAGTAGTATTTATTATTATTATTATATTATATTATTATTATTATTATTATTATTATTATTATTATATTATTATTCTATTGCTTCTTCAGCAAGGTCCAAAATAGCAATAAATTAACCAGCTGGTGGCTCGTGTTATTACAAGTGCTTCATATTCAAAACATTCAGCTGATATTTGGCATGAACCTGGGTGGCTTTCACTAAGAGAAAAGAGACAACATCATATGGCATTAATGATGTTTAAACTAAATCATGGCTTCTGTCCCTCTTATTTGTCTGACATGTTTGACGTTAATACAAGTCAGCTCAGTTACGACCTTTGCTCATTCTAGAATGAATCTAATAGTACCAAAAGCAAGAACAAACTATTTTAGGAATAGTTTTGCTTCTGCAGGTGGTAAGCTCTGGAATTCCATTCCTGCCAGTTTAAGGGAGAGACCTCTTTTAAAGGCTAAGATCGGGTTGTATATACTATCTACACAAGCATCATAATTTTAGTTTTATTATTAGGTTTTATATTGTGTGTGATCTTTTCTTAGTTTAGTTTTTAGATATATAATTGTCCATATTTTGTTAATTAATTAATGCATGGCTTTAGGTAGAACAGGTACTTTAATTATTGTAAAGTTATTTGATATTTGGGTGAAAAAAAGTTTTCACTCACACCTAGAGATTGAAAGCTGACAAGCAGAATCTTTTAACACACCCTGGCCGAACCTGTAATCAGGGGACACTTGCCTGTGTCTCTGAGATGTTACCTGAAGTGATGTTCCCTTGTATTGCTTTCCCGGGGGGAGGGAGCACTCCCTTAATTGGCCTGAATGGATATGTGCCACCAAACAGGGTATGGTTTTTGAGGTCTTGATAATCTCCTAAAATGACTACTCAAAAATTAGTCAGTTTTCATCAGCCAGTCCTGTTACTGAAAAATATGTGCCAAACTCTGTAGATTAGCCACTTACAAAGTCATTTACTCTCATCATTGGCAAGAATAATTATACTAAAATCAACCAAAGCCTGTTACTCAAATTCTACTTAAAGAGGTTAGAATAGAGAATTCAAGACATTGAGACTGTGAGATCAATACCCAGATTTTTAAAGATTTTTAAAGATTTTTAAAAGCATTTTTATGAATATGAGCCCATGGTTTACCCGTAAAACTTTCAAGCCTGAGACTCTGAGTGCCAAAATTTCAAGTAATGGTATAGATGTAAGGCAGAGTGAAGACTGGTGATAAGCTGTTCCCAAGACATTACAGCTGTGTAAGAATTGTTTAGTTAGAAGCGTGATGTTTAGCGCCATGTTTTAAACAAATGGGGAAAGCTAGTGGTTTTATCTGTTTCCTGTAATGTTTCAAGCAAAGTAAGAAGACAATTGAAAACGGCAATGTTAGTTCTACTGAGTCATTTAGGTTTATATATATCTATCTAAAATTTATTTGCCTCCATCACAATAATTGATGATTCATGCAAATATGTACAGTTGTTTCATCATACACTGTATATGTTGGTTATTTACCGCTGCTAAAAGAAAATAATATATGCGTGACACCTTACAAAATGTTGCCTGTGGCCTTTTTTGACCGAGTAAGGAAACATTAGGTACTGGTGAACATTTTCTCAAGGAAAAATGTTGGCACCAATAATATTCCTGTACATACACTTAAAGACAACAGATTGCCAAATTTGGAAACTTTGCAGCACTTTCCAAAATTGGGAATGTTCTTGTATGGTGCCCTTATAACATATATTTTCTTTTAATATTTCAGTATTCTCCGCAAGTGTGGCTGAATTTTAAACGAAAGTCCACCACAGGATTTCATATTGGTGGGGTACTGCTTGATTTTGGAGGTGGAGTGCTCAGCTTGCTACAAATGGATATCTACTGTTTCATTGAACACAGTATCAATCAGCTGACAGGCAACATTCCCAAAATGGCACTTGCTGTGGTCACACTCCTATTCAACATTATCCTTGTTTGGCAGCACTATGTCTTCTACCTTGGTAATGAACTTGTTGGTGCTGACGAGCAGAAACCATTGCTGAGAGGTGCCAAGAAAACAAAGTTTTATTCAGTTGATGTCAATTCTGAAGAAGGCGATTTTCAGGTGACTAGTTTGTCCCTCTCAGTAGACGAGAACACAGAAAACCCAAGAAGTCGTAAATCAAATTCACAAGAATCTTTGGTGTAAGAATTTCTCATGGGTAGAAATCTATCAGGGGATTTGAAACTGCACATGAGCTAAAATGCTCAACTGGTTTTGCCAGAGTCATTGGGTAGCAGAATACAGGGGTTTTAAATCAGGCTAACAGTGGTTTTATTTTTCAGCTAATACCACTAACAATTTGGGTGTACAATGTTTTACACATTTTTCAATATTATGGGTACATCTTAATTAAGAGAGATTTTTTAGTATAATGTTGGTATCAATATACCACTAAATGTAGGTCCATGACCATCCCTTTCTCTTGGGTAGGGGTTGGTTTAAGATGGTTGGGGTACTACAAGTATGATGATAAAAATTTCCAAGAATAAACTATTGAGCACTTGAGGTGCCAAAATGCTGAGTTAAATACTAGATTTATTAGAAAAAAGTCCTAATTTATAAATCCAATGTATATTTTAATCATGGGGATGCATCCCACCTTGTGGGTCACCATCTCTCTCTTAGAATTTAGGCTGAAAGTTTTGCTGTAATTTAATAGATGTTTAAAGGGGTTATTTATAATGATGGCAAAGTGTTAACTTAGCAAATATTTTAAAATGATGTGTATATATTTATGTGGAAATGATATACCAGTAATAAACATAAAATTATGGGAAATAACGAAAAACGTGAAAACTGTCAATCAGTTTATACATGTAATGTTTTGAAAAACTTATTTTTTTATGGAAATAAATCATTTCCAAGTCCATTGCAGCAGAAAGTAATTTTGTTATCTTATGAAGAGGGGCAAAAAGCATGAAATATTTGCATGTTAGTAAAAAGGAAAACACATTCTTATCACTGTATGGAACAGTCTTTTCTGTGATCAAACAAGAAAATCATTTTCTTTCCTCTCTCCACATGTCACCTACCTCACGGATGGCAATTCTCACATGCGTGCGTGTATGCCGCACGCCCTACTATCCCTTAGGAAAATGAGGGGCTTCTTGTCATCTAAATATTAGTAATAATAGTAATAATATTGCTTTGGGGACACAAGGCCATCTATAGGTGCGAGACATGATAATAATAATAATAACTTTATTACTGTGTCAATAAATATAGCAGCCACCCACTGAATTAGGACAACTATATCTAAAATACTAACTACTGTAAGAGATTGCCTAGATAACATGATAGAAGTAGTTATATACATTTATACAGTTATATGATAAAAACTAATAAAATTATAATATTATTATGTAAAATTGTAAGAGAAATTCTAAGAGTTATACAGGTCTCAGTTCTATATTATGTAACCTAATAAAAAATATATTATTGTTATACAAATTGTGAAAGAAAATTCTAAGAGTTACACAGGGCTCAGTTCTCTCAGTCATTCGTAGAAAAACCCATAGCTAGATTGTTTTGTGATTAAATTCTTCAAAGTTTCAAAAGATTGCTGTTTCCTTACTTCAGCATTTAATTTGGACCAGAGTAGTGGTGAGAAAAATATTCTGTTCTGCAAATTTGGTAATTAAGCCCTTCCCAGGAGTGTCTTGTAAGGTGTCACAATGAATAGTCCTGAGACCTGAGTCATTTCATTCATTCATTCATTTATAACTTTATTTTTTTTCTGGTTGTAGAGTAGCACGTACTGTTAGTATCTCCGAACTACATAAAATAAGAACCGACAAAAAAAATTATTTATAGTAGAGGGCTTCAAGTGTCATTATGTTCCCTATATTTCCTGTGTTTTAAAGCTTTTCCTACATTTCCCTATTTAGTTTGTAAATGCCCTATAATCCCTATAACTCCATCAGAAAATAAAAATATACTAAGGTCATGAACTTCCGTCGGTGGATTGTGACAAAGGCAGTGAATTTTTCAGACCATTTAAGTCATTTAAGACCGAACTGGTAATAATTTTATTATTCGTGCCCGCAAATGTACTTATGAATTTGATGCTGCTGTGAGCAGTGATCTTTATCCAGATATTGTCCAGATTTTAGAAGGGGTATGCAGCAACTTTGTGTGCACTTATTTTTCAAACGGAAGAGGATCGCATTCCACTCTCAATAATTGGTTGCTTTTTAAGTAGCCAGTGGGAAAATAAGAATTTCCAATCTAATGGGGTATCTCTAATAATGTGCAAGGTCAAAGCTCAGTCTGATAGAACGACTGTACCATTCTCACCACAAGACTAATGATGCTCCTTTAATTGCAACTGAACACAAAGCCAACACTGCAACTGATAAGGTTCACATAGACAACCGAAACCCTGGTCTTTCATGATCAGAAAGTGGCATTTATTATTAACCGGACAGTCGCAAGCTGTGAAGCTGTAAAATTCAAAAGTAATTTAATACCAAAGAAGGGATCACATAACATTGTGCTCCACTACAAAAAAGTGGAGGGTATCAGTCGTTAAGTACAATTCTCCATAGTTGGGTTGGTTGGCGTAGCTTCGAGTTGAAGCTATAATTCCTTCTTTTAAATGCGGAACTGTAGATCACTCTTCATGAGAATTCTACATCCTGCAAGCATCTCTGATACTCCGGGCCCTTCATAGCCCGCGCGCAGACGAAATTAAACTCTGGTTAACTCCAGGTACTAATCAAAGTTTAGTTATCGTCTGCACGCAGGCTAGGCCCTTCACAACAAAAGACACAAAACGTAGCAGGGAGTCAGCATTCATTGGCAAAACAACTCTACATTGAAGCATTTTGGAGCAAACTAAAGATACTAAAACCTTTATTAAAAAGTTATTGAGTTGCAATATCAAGGTTAACGCTTCAAATGAGGTCAAATTCTGTCAGAAACACTAAAAACCACCAGAAATCAATAAGTCTAAAACAGACCAGCTTCATGCCCTCACAATGTGAGAAAAGCTCCACAGTATGAGCTACCCGCCAGAAAGTAAACAAGGCGAAAAAAAAGGCGTTTAAACAGGAGGTTAAAGTTGTGTAAGCCTACCAATTTCACTGTTGCACGTAGAAAAAAATTCTGACGGTTGCAAAACACAAAAACGGTATTTTCACTATACTTCTTTAGGGTCAGTGTGTGTGTGTATTAATCAACGTACATTTTTTTTGCTTGCTCAAAGTTAGTGACCTTATTCTGTATAAGTGTTCACAATGTTGGACTAAAATTTATTGTGCTCCTTACCTTCTGCAGAGTTGCAAAACTGGTACTGGATATAATATGGTTGAACAAATCCCTATGTTTTCCATTTTTCCCTATTATTTTACGGCATCTTCCCTATGTTGGCCCTATATTTTTAAAAATCGCCCCTATATTAAGCCCTATATTTTTGCTTGAGGCCACTTGAAGCCCCGATAGTATCATAATATAAAAACCGACCAAAAACAACAACAACAGCAAAAACACAACTATTAACAAATATAGTCTATGATATCGCGTTTAAAAGTAGCAAGCGTTTCGGACGTTCTGATATTCTGATTGCAGTCCTGACTACCCTCTCGATTTTCCTAGAAACACTAACTTTACACCGAGAAATTCCATTCTTAACACCTGTTTAAGTAACACTGTGATAGAAATCGATCAGTGTCCCACTAACTTCTATTATGAGCTTGTCCTCACCCTTTTTTCTTCTGAATAGCAGAGTCCCATACTTCTTTAAGTTACCTCTAGAATTCAAAGCTTAGTTAGTGTATCGACTTTTAGGAAGAAACTGAAGAAATACGTCACTGAACTTGTTCCTTTCCCTCTATCCCCTCCCCTTTTTCCTTTTCCTTGTAAGCTTTGTCTTTATTTTTTTTCTTTATCTTTGTTTTTTTTCTTTAATACCGTAAAATTCCGAAAAGAAGGCTCTCCAAAACTTGGAAATTGCCCTCAAATACAAAGTCAAACAAAGCAAAAACGGTAAATTTCCTTCAAAATATAAGGTTAGTCCAATCGATTTTGAAACCCAAATTTCCCTCCGTAGATATAGAAGCCCCTCCAAAATTAAGCCCCTCAAAAAGGGCCTTTGAAAAATATAAGCCCCTGGGCTTATTTTCTGAATTTTACGGTACCTTATTACTACGTCTTAATGTTACTCTGCCTTCGCCGTTCAGTCAAAATCAATATTAAGTGTATTTTGTAATTTAGTAGAAAAGGCCCACGTTGTATAAGCCTCATGGTTTCTTTGGGCTTTCTTGCTTTTTTCTGACGCGTCTTTGTTATTTGTTAGTTTATCATTATGCTGGTGGCGAAATAATAATAAAAAATATTAATAATAATAATAATGAAGAAAATTTAGCGTTAAAAGACTGAATCCTGCCATTTTTGTTTGAATAGTACTAACACTCTTATTAATTTCATAATATTGTTGATCATCGCTATACAAACAGATGTTTGAGTTCATTAAATCATTTTTGTATATATTGTACAGTAGAAGCCCAAATGCGGAACCTTGAGGGCATCACATGCTGACTTCTTTCTAAGAACTGACAACATCCCCTAATCTCACTCTGTTGTGGCAATCAGTAAAATATAATCTTATCAAATTCACTCGACACTGTCGACATCGAAGTCATACCTTAAAGTTAATCGTCCTATTTACAATGAACGTATTCAAGGGCAGTTATTTAAAACTTGTTAACTAGTCTTGTACGAAGGCTAGCTATCGAATGAACCAGCAGGGAGAGCAAGTAAGACAACAAGAAATTCTTGAGCGCAGTTTAGTTTTCTTTTCTCTGTGCAGCATGGGTAATCGCTCTCATTCTAGCCTGTTTCAGGCTCCGATCAGGCTCCGCGGTGAAAAGTCGTTTAGTAAAAAGAAATGTGAAACACGCGCAGGGGCTGGGGTCCCGCCGCCGCCGCCGCCCCCTTTCCCAGTCGCGCGCGTCGTATTTTCGCTTATTTTCATCCCCACTATACTATCTGAGAGCCTGGCACAGGTTGCTCTCATTCAAAGTTTCATCCCTAATTGCGTGGTCGTGTTATTCATTTTGATCTTTTGCCAGCCTAACTATATACCAGTTCATATGTTTTACTATTGTCATTACACATATTCATGGTCGATTTCGTCGGGCCCGTAATTAGGCGCGGGCACATGAGTTTGACGTATATGTAAGCGTCATTCGAAAGGAAAGACCAAAGTTGGAAAAATTCTGTGTCGCGCTCATTTTTTTTTTTGTTTTTTTTTTTCTATTCATAAAAGAGCTTTTAAGTGTCTAAATGAGACTCACTGATGACTTCGCCACTGGCTTGGGTAGTTTCCAAGGTTCAAAAAGTTTGTTGTTCAATATTTTTAATGAAAGCTGAGCACTTGAGAGAAAGCGGCATATTATTATGTCTTTCCGACCACCCTGCTCGCACTTATCAAACAATATTGAAAAAGTAATTGATCTGTTAATGTGTTAGAATACTTCGGAATGTGCTAGTATCAATTTGATATGCTATTTATTCTCTTTAGCGCCATTTCTTTGTTTATGCGTTGTGTTATTAGTTAAGTTCATTTGTTTGTGCCTTCGGTTGTTTGGTTACTTTAAAGTAGTTGTTTATTGGTTTATTTCCAGTCCTGAATGTTTAGATTTTTACCACCGCTTTTCAAGTAACCGAGTCCTGTTTCCCTCTTCTTTTTTCAGAGATCCTTAACTTGCAACGTTAACTGTGATCTTTGTCGCTCGGCACTGAAACTTGAAGGAGCAATTAGTGCGTCGTGGGCAGGGAGATATAAATAACCCTTCCCTTGAGATGTGTTTCTTACACAAACTATACAATAGTAGTGCTCATTTGCCATTAGTAAACCACTTTGTTATCACGTTGCCTTTGTGCATATACTTTTATTATAAACCAATTGACGTAGCTTTATTGTGTTGTAGAAAATGCGGCAAATGATTGAACATGACGCTTTTAGTGGTAGTAAATATCTTCACGCATTTGAAAAGTTGTCTTTGATGAGAGCGTCTAGAAAGTTTCGGGCGGGTATGATTGGAAAATTTTTTTCTGAAAGAAGAGAGAAAACGAAGCACGACTTGGTTTTTACGGTTGTAAATTGTGACCGAAGTATGGATGATCTGCCAAGCTGTTTAACGTTGCGTAACATCGAGTCAAAGAAGGACCAGGAAGACAGGAAAAATGGAACAACTTCGGAGGAACGTTTCGCAAGGAATGCGCTTCCTAGAGAAGTTATTTCACCGGTCCTTTGGCCGAGATTGAGTAAAAACAAGAAAGATTTCAGACCTGAGATACAAATAGAAGGGACTTCTTTAAATTACCAAAGTGCGCCTCTAGCGGCAGATGAGAAAGATGTGAAGGAACCTTGTTTAATTTCCAGTCTTGAAGAGCAATCTGATGGTTTAAGGAAGGACGAGAGTTCCGCCGATGGCAGTGCTGAGAAAAGTGAAGAGCGAAGCCCAAGAGGAACACCTGAAAGCATGAATTCATCAGGCGAGGTACAGAGCCAAGATATTGACTTGAATATTTTAGAGTCTCGGAGGAGCCTTAATCCCAGTCCTTGGAAGGAAATCTGGTCTGTTTTACACGATAAACGTTTGGCAAATTGTCTGCTTTCTACCAAAAGTGTAGAGTTTGCACGCGATATTTCTGGAACACCATCTTCAACCAGGACAATTCCTCACATAAAAACCAGGAGGGAAAAACCTCAAAGGATACCGCCGCTTTACAACTTGAGGAAAAATGTTCCGACAACTAAAGAAAAAGCGAAAGTTCCTTCGTTTGATGACGCGTTCACGGCATTCAATACCTTTTGCAAAGGAGGGCAAGATACTGGTGTTGCTTTTGATATTTGCCCAGAATATGTTAAATTAAAGGATTTGAAGGACCATGGTGTACAAAGCGAAGGAGTTCGACATGGAGGTCGTACATGCAAAACCAACGAATGTAAAGGCACCAAGGCCGAGGTATTTGGTTTACCTAACATCGCGTGCCCTCCAAGTGATCGCTATAAGAGCAAGTTTCGCGTAAGACTACTTCCCCTTGTTACAAAGAGCGATTCACTGCCGAATCTGACTTCAAAGTCTACTTCGGTGCCTTCGGAACTCATCGTGACTACCCCGATACACAACGCCAGGTCAAGCGAGAACATTTCAGATGACCTTGCGAGGAATGCGGAAAGGCGAAATGACTCAGTTGAGGAAAACCACACCACAAACGTCTGCAGGCAAAATCGCTCTATGTCGCTCGATTCCGTTTTCTCTTTAGAATCTTTTCAGGCTTACCATGCTGGTAAAAGCGCCGGCGGAAAAATAAACGTTCAAGGATTTAAAGTCTTGCCGGAAATAAAGCGGACCTCGCCAAAAAAGTACCAACAAACTTTGAAACAAAGTGATAAAGAAGTTTCTAATATTTCTAGACAATCGACTGTTATAACACTCCCTTGGAAATGTAACTAAGATTTTAATAATGATTAGTTTTACTCAGTTTATTGAGTAGTTATATTCATCCTGCATGAATTACTGCAATCAATGATCATACCCAAGAGAGCACCGCGAACGTAAATGAGGTCACTTTTATGTATACATTTTTTTATTATTTTGTTGGCTATGACTCGCGAGCCTCGCGTCTTCCCGCGATGGCCTCGCGAGTAGCGTGCATTCGCGCTTTTACCGTTCTCTTTCTCTCTCTTGCCAACTTTAAGGACAAAAGCACGAGTATTTTCATTTCCTATGTCTTCTTCTTGTGTGCTATCTCCTTTTCATTAGTGACGTATTCTTTTCATAACTTACTAATGATTTGAAGTGTAAATTACCAGTAAGCGTACACCGAAAACCACACGATTGAAGTAAGGTAGAAAGAGAAACTTTGATTGTCATATGCCAAAGATCTAAAAATCGTTACCCTCAATAATAATGAAAAGATTTTTTAAATTGTATTTCATACCTACCCCAAAAGAAAAACGAGTTTTTAGGGGAATTACTTTTTTGAATATTCATGAAATGGTTTGTACAATACAAATAGTACCTGTTAAAACTTTTCCTCTCCCAGATATACTTTCCTCTGATAAATCAATTCTCTTAATTCCAGTGTAAAACACCAACCTAAAATATGGTCCTTCTATAAAGGTTTAACAGTCGTGTTTTTTTTTTCTGCAAAAATATTGCTTGAGCAAATTGATTTTTCTTTGTTTATGAAAAAACAGACGTTTAAATCTTGTGGCAGGTGTGTTGAAATCCATGAGAGAATGAATAAATTAACGATTCAATTTAAAAACGAAATTTGGTATTTTCCAAGTGACAATTCATCTCGATAAATTTGAGTCACTGGCTCTCGTTGAACTTACATTTCTAAACTTTTCTACTCTGGTCTATAACAAGAAACAAGAGAATGAGCAAGACCCAGCGAAGTCAAGCTGATTTGATGCCCAGTCTCTTCAACATTCATAGTAAACAAATCCAAGAGGGAAAGTTTCTGTACTCTAACGACGTGAAAAGCGTCCGAGACCTGTTTATCTATAGTGAAAAACATTGCGAGGCAAAATCATTCGGTAAAATGGAGGTTTGGATTAACGAAAAAAGCAAAAAATCGCGGCCTGTTAGAGGAGGATTTCAACAGTCTGGCAGTTTCCTTGGTCGTTTAAGGGCTGAGACTTCGAATGATGTTACTTACGAGTTTGTTGCTTCGCCTGAGTTTAAACCGGGAAGTTACTTTTTGCTGCCGGAAAATCAACCTAGTTTTGACTATAATGCGTCACGTATTGACCGATGTGTTCCATCGCATTCTTACATTAAGCCTAACAACCGATTATGCAAAGACAATTTTATGCGGAAAGAGTTTTGCGAAGTGGTTGGGAAGGAACTCTGTCTGAATTGTAATAGTGGCCGTCTGCGAGAGAAGTTTAATCGCAAAATCAGTTCCTTATATCCATGTCTTGAATATGATAAGGATAAAAGGCCTTATGGATACTGCCCAAGGGCAGTACGTCTGACAGAGCCTTTGCCATCCAGAATGGAGATGTTGCCAAAGGAGGGGCTCAGTTTAACTGGAAGAGAGAGTGTCGCACTCGAGGACTCCCGCAGGATTCGATCGGGACGGGAAAATTCTTTAAGTAATACTATAATACAAGTTTTTATGAAACCAAGACCCTACACAAGCTGAAATACTTAACTACATCAGATTGTTTATACTGAAATACGCTTTTAATAGTTCTCAGTATATGGGGGTTATGATTCGGTGGATTAACAAAATCGGGAAGTTCCTTTTTGCTGCCATAAAATCATAATTGTCTCCTTATTCCCAAGGCCCAACACTTCTCGACTTTTGAATTTAAAGCCATAGAGAGAAGATATAAAAATTCTATTATATCTGCGGGCGTTTTTTTTTTATTTTTTTTTTTTTTATGAGAAAGGCCAAAGAGCTATCAATGTTGTAACCACCACAATGACTTGATGCCACTTTTAAAAAGCAAATATAAACAGGTGAATAACCTTGTTAAAATAAATTTCAATGTAACTGCTGGGGAAATCGAACCTTGCAAAAGCTTTTTACAGACTTCTACAAAGAAATTTGGTCATATTAAGGTGATTCCCTAGTTTTGCACTGCGCATCTCTTTCTGCGCATAACAAGATGGCCGCCGTAAAAAAGAGCATGTGAAGTAATATTTTTAAAGGGAAGTTGACTGAAGAGAAACGCTATTGGAATTTTTGCTTGCTGTTGTTTCTTGCCGAGGTGAGACTCAATGTGTTGGGAATGTGCATAACGTAAGCAGTACGCGTGTTGCCGAGTTCGACCTCCTCTCGGAGAACCTCGATAGTGGATGTTTAACTTGTGCTTACGCACTTTGATTTTAATTTAAACACTTTCTTTATCACATTGTGTCCTAAATGTGATATCTCGATGTAAATTCTGTAAAAACGGATTTTTTAATACTTTCTTCCCCCTTTCACATACATTCTATTCTAAAACTCGCCTCAGTCCTCCCCGAAAAATCGGAGAAAATGCGTTTGGTGCGCACTTTCTGCAGCTCTACCGCAAAAACGAGTACGGTGACCCCCATTTTTTATTTCATGATTTTAATAAGGAAAGTGCTTCCTTTCGATGAGAAAAAAATTGGCACAAATCTATGTTCAGTTTTTTGGCAATTTTACTAAATTGAAGGGATTGAGCCACCACGGGTCGAAAAGCGCGCGTCCAATTTAATTCTACTTTGGAGCGTACAGTAAAAACAAGGGCATTAAAAGGTATTTTTCTGGTACATAAGTGGATAAACAATACATTAAAGTCAAATTCTGTGTGATGCCACATGCATCATCGAAAAAATCTCTTCTTTTTGTCTAGTTTTGGGCTGGCCGCGGTTTTTGTGAAAGGGTCCTAAATAGCCGTATTTGTCAGCATTGTGACGTCAAAACGAGCACGGTGACCCCCACTTTTTATTACTTTTTTATCATCTTCTTGACTTGTTACATCAGTGTACCAAGTTTTAGCTATAATCTATGTTAGGTTCTTTTACTATGGAATCACCTTAAGTCAATTGTCCACCTCTAAGTTCCAAGGATGACAGAAATCGAATTACTCTTCACAATTTCTATACTTAAACAAGAGAAAGCGCTATACAAATGATTAAGTTCAGTGATTACTGAAGGGAAGTTGCTATCTTTTAGCACATTCTCCCAACTTATATCCCGTATGAAAATATATGAGAATAGTTTGGATACTGGGGCCTAAAGGGTTTAAAGATTCACAGCTGACGTTTCGAGCTCTGGCTTGTCAGATCGATTTACTCCGACATTGCCTCGCAGTTTCTTTAGAAACTAAGTTAACCCCAGTTGGTTTATCACCTTTCTAACTATGGCTCGCTTGCTTTGGTTAGAGCACTGACTGGTATCGTATGAGAGGTCAAGGGTTCGAATCCCATATAAGCCTGAATTTTTCAGGTTTTCTTTTTGCAATTGCATGGGTTGTGCACCTACAAATGCTAAGATCCTCTTTACATTTAATTTTTCATCCCGTATTTCTGGTGTAAGATATTCACATATTCATTATTTCACCCTTTATTCACTATTAAAAGGTAAGCAACAGTTAATCTGAATTTTCCATGGTAGGTGCTCTAAAAGAAGGGCTTTCTCGAAGGTAGTTAAGTTTTCGCTGTATCACCCGTTTAATGTCTTTCATAGTGAGGTACACAGCTCGCCCGATAACCGGCATTTCGCTGTTTAATTATATCCTTAATCCATAAAGTATTAAGCAATCATAACGGGAATTTCAATGAAGTGTTTGGCTTAGCCACAATAATAGACGAAGCCGCCACATGATTTACGCTATTGACGTTTCGGTTTCAAAAGAAATATTTAGGGTTTGGAGTCCAGTTGCCCACAGTTTAAAGCACGAAAGTGCAACGCAAATGCTTTACAGGTACTCCACAGTCTTCACATCTATTCAATATTTTAATAACGGATGCTGAATTGTTATTAAGAGTTAATTAAGGCCTTTCCGAGCCAATAACATAAATGCAAATAATCCACTTTTGTTAATATAATTGTATTCCTACACACAATTGAAGGCTTATTTGTCTTCACAGTCACCCTATGGCTTGCATTGTTACCCCAGCAACACTTGGTTGCCGCGAATGTCGCACATCAGACACCGTGTCAATAATCACATCTCCCATTTTTTTTCCTTAACATTTCGTATGGCGCACAAAGCGAACCGTGAATGTACCTTACAAGATGTACAAGACATCTGGAGGCCATGCACTTCTCAAGTGAACTTAAAGAGGTGAGATGCTAGCAATTGATTCGGCTTTTCTTTGATGAAGTCTGTCCATAAACTTACTTTAGCCTTCAAAGTTGAGTAGCCTCTACCCGTGTTCAAAGTTAGAATGCTCTTTTGCATGGACAACCAACGACCTGCATGGATGATTGAAATCAACCATGGAATATTTCTGATGTTGAGAAAGAGATTACTAACAGTCCAATCTTTGCCGTCAAAAGATTTCCCGTTCATTCGTTGCCGAGAGAATAAGTTTACAACTTTCCAATAGGTCTCGAATTAAAGTGGTTATAGTAGTTCTTGTCGTTGCAGCCAATGGATTGAGTCAGTTGAGGATTCGAGAGAATATTGTTATGTTTACCACTAGCAGACAACAATCATGATACGATAATATTGTTAAGGTGACCTCCAAAGTTACATCGATATTCGATAAGTTCACAGCTGACTAAATTCTCTCTTTGAAAGGTGTATTGTCTTCAAAAACTCGTCCTTTTTATTCCAAGTATGCTTTTGAGGGCGATATGTCAAAATATCTCTTTATGTATGTGAAGACTTCGGTTCATATCATTACCAGTGGCAATTTTGCGAACTAGTTTGTTCAATATGTATAAATTATATTTTAAGAACACGTTTCTTGCTCTCAAGTGACGAGGGGGGGACCAGCGGATGTCGTCATTAGCTTAAGATATCACCTGCATTTCACACAGCAGTCGGGAAGAGTCGATAAAATTAGTGACACATATCACGTTTTCTTCATAGGACACTTCAATTAAGTCCTGAATTGGTCACACTTAACGAGCTGCGTTCAGTCAGCGGAATCCTCCTGTACTGGGTGGTCCTATAAAAGGAAGTGTAATTTGTAACCTCGTTCCCAGGTTTCTCTACAAGTAGAGAACCCTGCAAACGAGATTGGAAAAAGGTGTTTACTTGAGTGCTTTCAAAGTGACAGCCTTGATCGCATTTTAGTTCTCTAGTCGAATGGTCACAATTCTTTTATCGCTAAGACATGAAAACACATTTGTGCGCATTGCATGTAGTCACATGCTTGTGACTAATTTCAATTTGCATTCCACAGGATTAACATTAAAACCGTTACAGTTTCCTTCGATAGCAACAAAATCTGCGAAATGCCACAAACTTGTTCAAAGTCCGCCACACTGGAGCAGCTTGGGATAAGAGAGACTGATATATTCAAAAGTGAGCATGCGCCAACGAGCGTCTCAAGCGACACTCGACCAGAAGTCAGTCTGTGTCAAGATTATGTAACGTCCACAAGTACATGCGCAGTCGAAGACACCCGATCCGTCCACTCGAATTCAGATGGCTCACCTGACAAGTCACCACGAACGAACATTTTATCGCGCATGGCAAAAACTAAGGCCTCTTGGGTCGAAAACCAGAAGGTTCCAGAGTATTTAACACAGAGAAGAAGTCCAATTCTGTGCAAGGGTAGTCCACTGGGAAGTTCTTTGTTAACACCATTCATGGAAAGTAATCTCTCAACGGATAAAGCAACGAAGGGATTTCGCGATGGAAAGAAGTTCGATTTATTGCCGATTTCAAAATATTTGGCTCAGTATCGAGACGAGAGAAAAATCCATAAAGAGAAACGGTTGCCTCTTGTACGAATTAGTTCTTATCACACCTACTGCGGGTGCATGGACAGCTTAGAATTCTGGGATTGTGCGGAGGGACAGCCAAACAGTGCCAAACAAATGGCTACTTTCTTTACAACCAAAGACGTTTTTAAACCATATCACGCTAGGCTGCTGCCTACTCGAGGCGAGGCCTTGTTCGTTGAACCTTCACAGGACAAGTTGAACGCTTACATAACAACGCGTGAGATAAAGTTACCAAGACTTCACCGCACCGGTGGAAATGAGACATTTTTTACTGAAACAAGCGGTCGATTGAAAACGAGGAACGGAGGACTTGACTCGAAGCGAAATGTCTATTTTCCAGTCATAGTTAGTTAAAGGTCAATTTATTCTTCATGGTGAGACGGCTTATTTGATTTGTGGATGAAATGGAGAAGAACCAGGGCTTCAAAACATTTGGTGTTCGTGTGAGACCACATGGGTTTGAAGTTAATGTTTTAGAGGTTAGGTGGAAAGTGCGTCACTGTCTTGATTGTTGAAGGTCTTGAGGGGGAAGTGCTTATGTCTGGAATAACAGGTAGATGAAAAAAAGAATGATGAAACGCCGGGTCCCTCACGGTTGGGTAGATGGAGTGTTAACTGATGATGGTAATTCATGTAGTATACCGTTGTCAATAAATGAAGAAGATCCTTGCTTAATAAACATAGTACACAAATCATGATAATTAGCATCATAATCACCACTATCATGGTCATAAATATTAATTTCTCGCCAACATTGCAGTGAAATGAACTGAAACACAGTGGCTAGTCAAACTCCAAACTGAGCAACTCGTCAGATATTTCATTCGAGGTATTCCCGAGATATGAGTTGCTTTCCCCTAACGTCGAACGCAATTAATATTCATTAGTAAGACAGTCCATTAAACACTTCAGTAGTCCTAAGAAAAAGGTTAAAGGTGCTTAACGGCCCATAGTGAATCATTGCTCCTGTTAGAGAGATGTTTAGCTGGCTCAACATTCTTAGCAGCAACTATACTGGCGAATTTTAACCAGGCATCCTTCCTACGGGAAGAACAGCCACTGAATGTCTGCCTAGTAAAGAGCAGCTTGATTGATCAAGACCCAAAAATATGATACGAATTTCTTTCTTTTGAAACGATCTCACTAAGAAGAATAAATAGTGAAAGAAGCCGCAGCACAGACAAGTGAAACTAATCGATCACAGATCTTGCTTATCAGAGTAAAATTAATCCTGAGTTGGTAGTGCTGTGACACCCCAGACTTCTGAAAAACCTCACTGGCAGCCATTTTGAATAAATTTTCCACAAGTATAGTCTACATAAGACTCTTATTGATTCATGCCCCTAACTATAGTGTTCAACCCATAAAAGATATTAAAAGCAGTGTAATCAGGTTCTGCCAAAAAGCAAATAAATAAATAATGAGCTTCTTAGACCTTAGGGTTTAAACGCGTGACACTCTTCGGAGCATGACTAGTATTATTTGCTCTGCATGGAGATTAGTTTAGAGCATTAGACTGTAGATGTAGTTATGATATTTGAATTATGTAGAGTTGGAAGTCCAGTTGCCCACAGTTTAAAGCACGAACGTGCAAACAAGTTCTTTACATACACTCCACAATCTTCACTTCTCAGCTCAACTCTCATTTGAATTCCATAGTCAACAAAACACTGAGTTCTAACCTGTCCTCATCGACTATTAACCCAAGGAAAACGGCAAACAAGTATTCTTTGTTTATAACTTAGAAATGTTCGCGCTCTCAATTCAAAGACATTTTATGTGTAAGAATAAACTATGTCGGTACCAGGGATCCCAGTACGGGTAACAAAGAACAGTAACACAGCGCGAGAATATCATGCTGACACAATTTAACTGTTGTCAAGTTTAAGAAAAGCCCCAAAAAACCTAGGATCCAAATTTTAAATGATTTTAGGTCTCGTTTTAATGAGAGTTAAGCCTATGACAAAAGAATCGTTTTCCTGAATAAGCGCGTTTTCTTTATGATCAAGAAAACCTAAGCTAAAAGTAGTTCAGCACGATAAATAAATAAAATGTTGTTGAACGGTAGCAGCTACGTCTTTCTTTGAAAGGAAGTATTCACCATAAATTGAGTAAAAAATAAAGAAAATACCGTTATAAGTAAGAAAAATTTTTCCAGTATATTTTGCAATCGTGACAAATCCGTAAGATTCCCTTAGTTAATTATGCTTCGCTTTAAAAAGCTGAGACAAAAACGGTAATTTAAATCAAAAGCACTGACTTAACACAAAAGTCAGTGTTGAAATTATCTAAAAATGTACTAATTTCAATTCTTGTTCATTATTTCCTTTCTTTGTATTTGTTATAGTAGAGCTGCCAGGGAAACAATTCGGCAAATTCGACCGGAGGTGCTGAAGTCCTAGAAGTTTAAAATTTTACTGGGATATCGTTTGTTGATTATTTAGTCGTTGATTATCCAGTTGATTATTGAAATTTTTATATGTTAAATAATCAACTAAATAATCTTTACAATTCTTTTATTTCACAACGATAGAGAAGCCAGAAATGTCGAGATTAAATTACTTCACATTTTGTGAACTTATCTTTCAGGTGCATGCCAAATGCTCGTCTGTGGCCTATAATCAGATCATATATCTACTTTTTCTTTGTTTGCTTAATCTTTCTTTTCAAACTTTTAAACTTTCTTTTCAGTACATGCAAAGCACTTGAATTTTTAATAAGGTTAATGCTGTAAATTTGAATTTGTTCAAAACACAAAAGATCTACTCTGTCCGTCTTAAATGACCTCAAGTACCTGTAAACTGTTTAAACGAAAAGGTCAGGTTGCAGAGTTAAAACAGCCCATAGCGACTTTGTACCAGAGTTTTAGGAAAGTGCAGTGGAGGTCCCTTTCGTAGGAACTTTTTAGGTATCAACTTATATGCAAGCTCGAAATTTTCATTGAATACTAAACCGACGAGCAGTTCAAAATTATCAGCATTTGCATGGCATCCACTCAAGAGAACGGTTTCTGCTGGTCATAGACGGAAACAACATTGGCCGCAAATGCACTCAGTTAGCTACGCTTTATTGTTGTGGGAAATTATGTGGAGACAGAAACCAAAATATCGAAGAAACAATAGTTTAGATGTGAGTGGAAGCCGCAAGGAGGTTTATATGGCGACGGAAACTACGTCTGACAGTCTTTTTCACATTCAGGAGAATGTTTCAAAAGGACTATGTGACGAGGAGTATCAATACTGCGATGTAACAGAAGATTCATTGCTTGTAGAAAGAGATTGTAAACTTCATCGGAATAAATGTCTTTCTGAAGTCACAACATTGCCAAGAAACTCCGTTTCTAACAAGTTAAAGGCGTCTCATGGACTGAACCTGCAAGGTGCCGCTAGCAATGGAAATTCAACTTTTCAAGCCAATTTTGAAGATGTGGAAAACGAAGAAAGCGCTTTAGGTTTAGTTTCCTTTTCTTCGAATATAGCCGGCGACGCAGTTTCATCTGAGTTCAAAAACCAAACTTATGGTGGTAGCAAATTGCAGTCGAAAACTGTTGTGGATGACAAACAACAATCAAACAATTCAAAACACTTTAACCTAAAACCAGATGGAAGCAGTCCCCAGCCAGGAGCTTTACCATTTCTATATAAATCGCACCAAAATAAGCCAAGAAATTTAGGTGAAAGAAAACAGCTAGCCAGAGGAAAAGAACCCAAAACTCACGATTCTAACATTGGAATCGTGAGTGGCAAGAAACTGTCATATTCACTTCCTCCTGAATTTTGCAATTTGCGACACTTCCTTCCACTGCTTACGCTAAGTCAGTGTGCTGATTATGACTCGGCTGTAATCGAAGCTGTTCGGGACTACAATGACCCATGCACTGGTGCAAACACACAAATCTATTCACCGTATTGATTATACAGTAAATCCTTAAATTAAGGCAAGCAAACTTCAATGGAATTTTGAGCCAAAGGAGTGGAAATAAGTCCTTTTTTGGCCACAACATTGCTGGGAGGGAGGGGGAAGTGGGGGAACGATGCCGATCAAAAAATTGTTATTGGGAGCAGAATCCTACGTAATAGTTACTTGGAAGGGTTTTTTCACACAGCCTCAAGTTTTTTTGGCCTCCATTGTTGTTGCACGATTCGATTAAATCCTCGCGCATGACTATTACGTTATATATGATAATTTCTTTGCATCAGAACAGGTGGTATAAATGTCCTTAAGTACACTTCAGCATGAATTTTGTTCCCAAGATATACAAAAGTATTAAAAAGGTTCTTATGAAAAGATGCATGTCAAGAAATACTTGCTATAGTTGAAGTGGTTTAAACTGTTAAATATTGAAACTGTGAAAACAGAGTAAAACGGTAACTTTCACTTTTAATTTTGTTTTCGTCATTTCAGCTGTTTTCTATCCTATGAGCTGTGTTAAAGGAACCGTTTTTAGAGGGAACGAGCCAACTACGTGTTCTTGCTCTCAGTTGCTTTTTATTTGCTCGAAGATAACTTTCTAACCCACTTACAATTCTGTCCTTTCTATTCTCAATCTACCGTTGCTGCACCTTGATTTCATAGTTGAGCATAGAAAAACCAATCGGCATGACCCATCCACTTGACTCGGATTCATGCTTGCTTAAGGCTCTTTCCGTTTTGTCAGTTCGAGTTGTCTCTATTCATTACCCAAAACAATTTTCTTTGCAAACTGATTGCTTTACGAAACCTAGGTTATACCACAGTCAAAATAAAACCCAGCGAGCAACTGTCAGTGAAAATCGAAGATCACAAAACATCAAATTCAACACACAATCAACATAAAATAAAATTCAGAAAATTACTAACATTACTCGTTACAAAGTCATGCCAAGAATTCAAAATACTAGACTGATGTTTGAAGCTTCCTCATCAAAGATGACTGGTTAAGCTTTTCCTTAAATCGATTACAGGCGTGACCAGAAAATTCAAAGGACAATCTTCAAAATCCAACATATAAAAACCTGCAGAAGACAAAAAGCAGCCAACGGGAAATTTTGAGAAAAAGACCCTAAAACAGCAACAAAGCATAAATAAAGCTTTCTGAAGCCTTTTTCAGCATTTTGAAGGCGGTGAGTAGGAAAATGGGTGTGGCGTAATGACGAAATTCACCCCCTCAGTGGAGGGGGGGAGGAAAGAGCTTTATGACAAATAACCCACAGTAGCTATCCTAGACATCCAGTCCCCTCAGACACCGTGAATTACCTTTTTTCCAGCAACGCTATCCTTCCAAGGACATATCATTTCTTCCACATCTCCCAGCCAGCAAAAATTTGCCTGAAGAACAGATAGTTTGAGGACCAGATCCACTGGGTGCCCTTGGGAATACCAGACTTAACATCTAAAGATAAGGGGTCATTCAAGACCAAAATCACTAAAAATATTCCGATCTAAATAAAATATATCCGCTGCATGAATTCCTTGGAAAAAAAGGACAAAAGAGGACAAAAACTGTGTTAAAACCAAAGATAAAGCCAATTCCTGGAAATCTACAGAAAAGGTCAGGGTACGGTAAAAACGTCAACTGTTTCCAGCGCCAGTGTAAACATATGTGAATGTGTAAGAACAAATCAAATGCTACTATAATCACCTGTTTCGCACCGAATTCATGACAGCAGGGAGTATCGGATATTGATAACAAGTTGATATAGCTGGGCTAAAATTGTAAAATAAACAACTAAAATGACACATCAGAATACACTGTTTGTTTTTTCATTGTTGAACAGTTGCAGAAACTACTGTAGTGTTTACATCCTCCGTTTTTTTTTCGACATTCCCTCTAACCTTCAAAACAGATATTAATCTCTTCAAGACGACAGTATAACGCACCACCCCGTCATTGCTAGCTACACTGTTTTACAGGAAAATATATACTGACATGACTGGGCATAGTGAGTACACACTGAGTGATATTCAAGATATTAAGAAGCAGATACTCCACTGGGCAAATTAAGAGCTAATTTTCTCAGGCATGATAGCTGTTTATTAAGGAGGAGTAGAAATGGTTCACGGCTTGGTAGAGGTAAATTTTCAGTGCAAGTGTAAATCCATTCTCTTTTGCTGGTTTTGGGCCCACAAAATCAATGCCAAGGTGAAATAGGACAGTATAAAGATGACGTAAATATCAACTACTGAAGTACGCGTCTAACGTCTTTGGCACGTGCATTTTATGTAATTAACGTAACGCGGGCGGAGTCAGTTTGCACGTTTTGCATCTGAGTGAGTTTATTATGATAAATTTGTAAATGAGAAATAGAATTAACGCACTAGTTATATCATAGAACGGAAAAACTATTTTCCGCATTTGATGACAGAGATAAATTTAATGTCTTTACGAATTGATAGTTTAGTGAACTGTCGTCACACAATTTACGTCGAACAGATTGCTCACTAATCAAGGTTGATGGTCATTGCTTTCGGCTCACCTGCTTTAAAATTCCGTTTCTAGTTTGACGTGTTTTGAAAATTTGCGTGCAAGCCCCAAATCCACGTGCGCTCTGAGCACCATGGGTAAGTGAGAAAATTTGGTGAACCAATCAACTTTCAATCTTAATCTTTGTTGGCCTGAAGTACACTCACAAGAGTTCCAAAGAACTGCCAGCTACACAGACTAATTTCTTTCCTGGCTTTTGTCCATATGACATATACAAAAGTTAATCGTATCTGAGATAAGTCAAAGTTTTGTTATGTGAATGAAAACACGGTTACCTCCAGACCTTACCCAAAAACTGAAGAGAGTCCGCCGGATTCTTTAATTTAAAAATGGAGGCTATGGACATGAAAAAAGTCAGTTAATTACAAATCTGAGTTTATTTGCTCATATATGCTAAAACGAAATATAGTGTAAGGTATTCACCGAAGTATATCTAATTGGAACCTTCGCCGAACAAAAGGCTTTCGACCACTTACAGCGCCCGCTCTGTCAAAAAAGAGGGTAAAAAGGTCAGGCTGGCTGTACAGCATGGAAATACGGCTGATGGCTGAGACAAAATTGTTTTCAGTCGCTTTTACAGTGAAACTTAATTGCACAGCACCTGGGGCCTTTCTTTCTTCAGGGGCCGGTCATTGCTACATAGTTATAACAAACTTTGCTTTTAGTACACAGTGTACGTAGTTAACGTAACGCCTTAGTACACGTTAAATCCACATTTTCAGGTTATTAAGCAAGCTTTTTAATACGGCTTATAAAAACAACATATCGAAAATAGCATATGACAACAACGTTTTGCATACATCCTACCTTAGACAAGTGTGAAAATGATAAAAGTATAATTTCGCAATATTGAAATTATCATGTTTCAGAGTAAATTACCACAAGACAAACCAGGTCTTGCAAACTAAAAAAAACTTTTTCTCGAATATTCCTTGTTTATTATTTTTCAGAGGGAGAAGAAAGGGCTTAACATGATTTACGCGACTATGAAAATAAAATATATAGTGACGAAATTGGCCGCAGGCAAATTAAACGCCATTAATAGACGGAAGAAACACAATTGAGCAGTAAATGAAGAGAAAAGTAGCTTTTAGGTCTTTGCTTATCAATTGTACCTATCTTTGCCTTAATAACGAAGAAGTAGTAACAATCTGTTATTTTGCTGCCTAAAGAAAATGACATGTGCTAAAGGCGTTACATTGGTGTGGCCGTTTAATAACAAAAAGTACTCCCTTCTGAGTTTACATTTATTCAGTAGAAATAGCCTCAGGCGAGAAGAGCTAAAATTGACTGATCAAAGAAAGAAAACAGATCACCCTTATTTCTAAGTTCCTGCGGGGAAAACATTAAAGTGATCATCAGTATTAGAATTTGAGCGACTTCGATATTTATCAGTCGTTATTGCCAGGGTTTGGTAACCGTCGTTTCCTTCTGTTTCAACACAACGTAGCTGTTTCATTTACATTTTTTCCTGTTACCGCTCGTAATTGTTATTTAATAGAAACCCACGCGAGATTTACTTTTATAAAATGACAACCTGCAGCACTTAAACACAGTTCATATTGAGTGCTAAAAGATTGACTTTTAGTTACGAAAGCTATTAAGGTAAGCATTCAACTTAGTTGAGACAGTTTCATAACTCACCATGCCCCTGGCTGGCTTTAAGTGCGTCATATGTAAAATCAAATGATATACTAAACCTACCATTTTTTTCTCAATTCAATTGCTTCCGATTTTCACCCGGCAGAAAATTGGTAATAGACGTCGAATTTAACTGTGAAAAGAGCGATGGGCTCAGGCACAACTGATGCAGTTGAAAATGATGGAGAAACGTACGAGGTACAGTTTTCTTTTTTTTTCTTTTTTCTTTTTTTTTTTTGAGAAAGTTTATCTGAGCGCGCTATGTGAAAACAAACCGTAAGAATACAATTTTCATTCCATGACGGTCTACTTAAGTTGTCCGATTAATCCTAGTTTTATATTAAGACCGTATATACACATTGTTGTTCAGATTTTGAATTTCTGTCTCTCAGTTCTCACAGTCCATACTCTCCTTATTTCCTCATTTTACTAAAACATCAAATCCTAACTATTTTCGATGCCACATCATTCCCATATGATCTTACAAGGAGATGGAGACTGACAAATGTGACTCTTACTCTATCAATCGAAACCACATGAAATGTATCTCAGATTTTTACTCGGAGAAAAGAGACTTTCTTTTAAATGTCTTGCTTCTATTTCTACGTTTTTGAGAAGTATATAAGAAAACACCTTGCTTGTCAAAGTGTTATTTTTCAGTGCCCAAGGGTATATCTAATTGTTTTAACCTGTATAAAATATAAAGTCGAAAATAAATCGTTATTTAAACAACATCGGATCAATTATAAGAATTGAAGACTGCCAAGTTCTTGTGTATTTCAAAATATCAGGGTGTGTGTAACTAAGG